CCAGCCCAAAAGGGAACTGATTCTTTTTTTTTTTTTTTGGTCGGTCGTGGGGCTTGAACTCTGGGCCTGGGCACTGTCCTTCAGCTCTTCACCTCAATGCAAGTGCTCTACCACTTGGGCTACAGCGCCACTTCTAGTTTTCTGGTGGTTAATTGGAGATAAGAGTTGCATGGGGATATACAGGTCATTATGTCGAAAACGAACTTTACAACTTCGGTGGGGGGGGGGGGAGGAGCATTGGGTGGGGGAGGGAAGGGGGAGGATGGGAAGGGATGGGAAGGGGAAACAAAGGAGGCTACAATGCTTGATAAGAAATATACTCATTATCTTGCCCATGTAATTGTAACCCCTCTGTACAGTATTTTCACAATAAAAAAATAAAATAAAATAAAAATAAAAAAGAGTTGCATGGGGCTGGGAAGGTGGCTCAGTGGTAGAGTGCTTGCCTTGCATGCATGAGGACCCAGGTTCAATTCCTCAGCACCACATAAGCAGGAAAAAAAACAGAAGTGGCGCTGTGGCTCAAGTGGTAGAACATTAACCTTGTGCTGAAGAGCTGAGGGACAGTGCCTAGGCCGAGTTCAGGCCCCATGACCAACCAAAAAAAAAGAGTTGCACAGACTTTACTGCCCAGCCTAACTTTGACCCAGGATCCTTAGATCTCAGCCTACTGATTACCTAGGATTACAGCTGTGAGGTAGCTGTAATTTCTTTTGGACATTGTCACCCCTTCCTTTCCTCTCTGTTTTTCCCTCCTGTCTCCATGCACAAGTTGTATAGTTCATTTTCAACATAGTATCTAGCGAGTACCATTGCTACATTTTTTTTACCTTTTGTCTCTCCATTTCTTTTTCTTTCTTTTTTTTTTTTTTCCTTTCTGGTCATGGGGCTTGAACTCTGGGCCTGGGCACTGTTCTTGAGTTTTTCAGCTCGTGGTTAATGCTTTACCACTTGAGCCACAGTGCCACTTCCAGTTCTCTCATGTTTAATTGGAGATGAGTCCCATGGACTTTCCTGCCCAGGCTGGCTTTAAACTGTGATTCTCAGATCTTAGCCTCCTGAGTAGCTAGGATTACAGGCTTGAGCCACTGGTGCCTGGCTATCCCTTTTATCCTCCCAAAAACAGATAAATGAACAAACAAGACAAATAGCAAACAAAACAGCAACAAAGAAAAAAAAAAAGTTCTTGCTCACGCCTGTAATCCTACCTACTGAGGAGGCTGAGATCTGAGGATTGCAGTTCAAAGCCAGCTCGGGCAGGAAAGTCCATGAGACTCTTAGCTCCAATAAAAACCACTAGAAGGCCGGGCGCTGGTGGCTCACGCCTGTAATCCTAGCTACTCAGGAGGCTGAGATCTGAGGATCGCGGTTCAAAGCCAGCCCAGGCAGGAGAGACCGTGAGACTCCTATCTCCAATAAACCACCAGAAAACCGGAAGTGGCGCTGTAGCTCAAGTGGTAGAGCGCTCGCCTTGAGCTGAAGAGCTGAGGGACAGCGCCCAGGCCCAGAGTTCAAGCCCCACAACCGACAAAAAAAAAAAAAAAAAACACTAGAAGGGGCTGTAGCTCAGTGGTAGAGTGCTTGCCTTGCATGCATGAAGCCCTGGGTTCAATTCCTCAGCACCACAGAAGCAAAAAGAAAAAAGCCAGAAGTGGTGCTGTGGCTCAAGTGGTAGAGCGCTAATCTTGAGCTGAAGAGCTGAGGGACAGAGCCCAGGCCCGGAGTTCAGGCCCCACGACTGGACCCCAAAAAAATAAAGATAAAAATAAAAAAATAAAAACCACTAGAAAACTGGAAGTGGCACTATGTCTCAAACAGTAGTGCGCTTGCCTTGAGCTGAAGAGCGCAGGGACAGTGCCCAAGCCCAGAGTTCAAGCCCCAGGACCAACCAAAACACAAAACAAAAAAAAAAAACCCTCTCCATTTCATGGAGTTCACTTCAATAAATATGTTATATGATCAGATGCAGATAGTCATTGTGCCTTTGTTTTCCTCCCCTAAGAATAGGTGAGGGGTTTTACTGAGGTGAAGGAAATGTTCCAAACTGGATTGAGTAAATTTTGTAAATTTTTTAAAAATTGTTAAATAATTAGATCCTTAAAAAGAAAATGGGGAGGCTGGGTGCCAGTGGCTCACACCTGTAATCCTAGCTACTCAGGAGGCTGAGATCTGAGGATCAGGGTTCAAAGCCAGCCCGGGCAGGAAAGTCCATGAGACTCTTTTTTTTGGGTCCGTCATGGGGCCTGAACTCTGGGCCTGGGCGCTGTCCCTCAGCTCTTCAGCTCAAGGCTAGCGCTCTACCACTTGAGCCCCAGCACCACGTCTGGCTTTTTTCTTTTTGCTTATGTGGTGCTGAGGAATTAAACCCAGGGCCTCAGGCATGCAAGGCAAGAGCTCTACCACTGAGCCACCTTCCCAGCTCCAAGTGTGTTGGTTATTTTTTTTTAATTTAATTTTTTATGTGAACATACTGTACAGAGAGGGGTTACAATTACATGGGCAGGATAATGAGTTGGTTATTTTTGAAATAGGTTTACACTTCATGCCTTCTCTGACCTTGACTCGGATCTTCCTATTTGTACTTCCCTGAGTGGCTGAGATGGCACGAGTACACCTTAACATCCAGCAATTGATTGAGATGGAATCTTGATTAGTTTATTTTTGGCCTGAGCTTGACTGTATTTAAGATCCCCTTTCTTAGCTCCAGGCTTCCCATCCCTTAACCTAGGATTGTAGGCTTGAGCCAGTATGAGTGCTGTTTGTCTCTGTCTCTCTCTGTTGTAACAAACTTAGTTTTTTTCCAGAAAGTACATGTCCAGGGCTGGGAAGGTGGCTCAGTGGTAGAGCGCTTGCCTTGCATGCTTGAGGCCCTGGGTTCCATTCCTCAGCACCCATAAGCAAAAAAAAAAAAAAGCCGCAAGTGGTGTTGTGGCTCAAGTGGTAGAGTGCTAACCTTGAGCTGAAGCGCTGAGGGGCAGCGCCCAGGCTAAGAGTTCAGGCCCCACGACCGGACCCAAAAAAAAAAAAACAGAAAGTACATGTCCAGTCCTGGGATGCCACCATAAATTAATAACATCATAAGCCCATACCAGCCAGGCGCCGATGGCTCATGCCTGTAATCCTAGTTACTCAGGAGGCTGAGATCTGAGGATTGTGGTTCAAAACCAGCCGGGGTAGGAACACCTGTGAGACTCTCATCTCCAATTAACCAATAGTGCCACTTCCAGTGGTAGAGTGTGCTAGCCTTGAGCTGAAGAGCTCAGGGCAGCTCCCAGGCCTGACAAAAATAAGTAAACCCATATTGTTCTATGTTATATCTCTTTTAGGACAACTTTGCTTATTTTTAGCTAGTCCTGGGACTTGAACCCAGGGCCTGGGCATTGTCCCTGAGCTTCTTTTGCTCAAGGCTGGCACTCTACCACTTGAGCCACAGTACCACTACTGTCTTTTTCTGCTTATTTGGTACTGAGGAATCGAACCTAGGGCTTCATGTATGCTAGGCAAGCACTCTACCATTAAGCCACATTCCCAGACCCTTGGGCAACATTAATACACTTTTTTTTTTTTTTTTGGTCAGTCATGGGGCTTGAACTCTGGGCTTGGGGGCTGTCCCTCAGCTCTTCAGCTCAAGGGGAGAGCTCTACCACTTGAGCCACAGTGTCACTTCCGGTTTTCTGGTGGTTTATTGGACATAAGAGTCTCACATACTTTCCTGCCCAGCCTGGCTTTGAACTTTGATCCTCATATCTCAGCCTCCTGAGTAGCTAGGATTACAGGTGTGAGCCATGGGTGCCCGGCTAATACACTCATTTTAACAACAATCCTGCAGGTAGAGACCCTACCCCCCACCCTTTTCCTGCTATTAAAGGCCAGGCACAAAGTAGAACATGGTTTTAAAAAACAGGTCTGACTCCTGAGGCTCTTTACAATGTACTACTCATTACTCATCCATAGGTAATTTTGTGCTTTTTATTTTATGTCTCTGATGAGAGTATCCTCCCTTCCCATCTGACCCACAGGATGTTCTTTAATGCCTCCTTCCCCATCACCCTTGATGATCTGGGAACTCCTCAAGGGAACCCTCTACTCTGAGGAATTGCTCCTAATAACTTCTAGGGACCCCCTCCTCCAGCAGTGCCTCTAGTGATTCGTAGAACCCTCCCCCGCCCCCCCCCCCCCCCCCGCCTCCCCAAGAAACTGCTTTCTAATGACCCGAAGAATACCCTCCCTCCGGATACGTGCTAATGACCTCCAGGGCTCCTCCTTTAGTTCCCTTCAGGAACTGTCCTGGCTGGTCGGCTGTAAGTTCTAAGGACTTCGGACTTTTTTTTTCTTCTTGTTCGTCGTGGGGCCTGAGCGCTGTCCCTGAGCTTTTTCCCTTGAGCCAAGGGACCGCTTCCGATTTTCAGGTGGTTAATTCTTCAGTTCAGAGTCTCAGGGACTTTTCGCTTCCAACCGCGACCCTCAGGTCTCAGCCTCCGGTGTAGGTAGGATTACAGGCGTGAGCCGCAGGCGCCCCGCTAGGACTTTGCTTTAAAATTTGAAAACCATCCGGAACTAATTGTGACAATCTGGTCACTTTCTCAATAACCCTGACTTTGTTAGTTAGCACCTTTTACCTTAGGCAACAGGGGCCACCCACCCCAAGAAAATTTGGGCTATTCTTTCCTCAGAAACATTCTATAATAACCTCATCGCCTTTACCCACCTATTTGACCAGCCCATTTGTGGGTACTCTCCTCTTTCTATCCCGATTAGCTAGGCAAGGCCTGAAACTCGCTTATGATTGGCTAGATCGCAACCCAGAGAAGATGCTCAATGGCCGCTGTCCCCAGCCGTACAGCCTTTCCTCCTGGCAACAGCCCGAGCCGGCCTCATAGGCCGAGCAGATTAATTTTTCCACGACTTCGAGGCGGTTTCCGCACACGCTCATTGGCTGCCTGAGGGTCGTAGCCGTCCTCTGATTAGTTGACTCGGGAGGCTCTGTACGGCTGCGCAGAGGCCGACTTTGAGGAGGCGGAGCTTCGGTTTTGCTTGCTGGCAAAGCACTTTAATCGGCTAGTAGACGACCGCCGAAATCGAGCCTGGGCCCTACCCCGGGCTTTGGGCTTTCGGTGAGAACCATCGGGTTTTGTTTCCCTTACGTGTATTTCTACTGTAGCCTTGATTGAGAGCTCTCGTGAGGGAGGGGCTACTGGGTGGATCTTGCTACGTTAAATGATTGGCATGTTTCTTGGCCAATAGAAGAAGGAACTTCTAAACTCCGTCCTGTGATTGGCCCTTTCCAATATTTTAAGGCCAATGGACATCGGAAAAGGGGGGCGGGTCCACTGGGCCTTATTTTTCTTCTTCCTGCGGTCGGGCCTCACTATCCAAAGCTGCGGGGCGCAGAGGGGCTGTACCCTTACGTGGTGAGGCGCAGCGATCTGGGGGACTGGGGCTGTCTTTCGAGGGATGCACGGGTCAGAGGCTGCGAGGGGAGGCTGTAGGAGTTCCGGGTGGTTGTTAGCCTTTCTGTGTTGCTTAAGTACCAGGCCTAGTCCTTAGCGTCTCGCTTGCATCATCTGAGTTAATCGTACTAAGCCTGCAGGGCAGGGGGTTGGGATCCCATTTCACAGGTGGAAGAACTGAGACTCGAGTCAGTCAACTCACACCGTCAAGGTCACATAACTCACAAATGGCATTGCCCGGCTCTGTATTCAGAGTTTTAGCTCCGGAGCTGGTGCTCTTGAACCAGTTAGGCTTTGTGGCTGATTGCGAGAGGGTAGGTGTTAGGGACCGGGAGAGCAGGTGTCCCGGAGAAGGACCGAGAGGAGGGGAACCCTATGGCTAAAGAAAGGAGATTAGCAACTGAGGTGAGAGTGAGGAAATCCGTTTATTCAGCAGTTCCCGAGTGCCTACTCTGCTAGGCATTGTTCTGGGTTCTAGGCGCACAAAGATGAATAGGGCTAGAGGCAGATGAAGCCCTATCAGGGCCCCTTTCAAGCCGAGGAAGGGGCTCCAAACCTGTATTCACATGATTTTAAAAAAAATAAAAAATAAAATTTGCAAAAGTAAGATGTTTAGATATTTTTAAAAGGAGGGTCTCCAAAATTGAATAGGTTTCAGGTTTCTCCACACTTGGATCGCCTTTGCAAGACCTTAGTTTTAAGTGGCAGTTAAAGATTTAGGCAGTAGAGAGTAATGAAAGGTGCACGAATAGTCGATGGGCACATTTCCTGGTATGTAAAACAGGGATAACAGTGTTCCTGCATGCAAAGTTTATGAAAAGTGCCTGGCCAGAAACGCCTCGTTTAGAGTGGCATGGAAGCCTGAGAGTTCCTGGTAGTTGTGTGTATTGTCTTGTACCTTTGTATCATGCTATCTCCCAAATCTGTTACTGAATTGCTGATTGGTTGGAAATAGTTTCATCTAGCTGGTGGGCTGCCATGGTTTCAGCTTCAGAGCAGGGAGCAGAATTGCGAGAATGTTGGTGGAAAGGAGTTTCAGTAACAGAAAAGACATTCAGATTTTGCTTCTAAACTGACTCTAAAATTTTTAGCTGGTATTCTTTGTTCTTTTTCAGTTGAGATGCTGTTTTGGGTCACCAGGCTCTTTGGGTGTTCCTACTTAGTTAAAGTCTTGGTCTAGAATTATAAAGTATTTATTTGGCTTTCTCTGCTCAGTATTGAAGTTTGCCCTGCATTGCCAGTTTATTGGCTGTTTAAATTATATCCTTTGTGTTCTGAGTACAATGCCATTGAACTTGTCTCTACCTTGACTTCATTAAGTAGTGTGAAAACTGCCTTTTGGTTAACATAGGAAAACATTTAATAGTTGTAAGCCATGTTGCTAATATCAAAGTAATTTTTAAAGCTTAAATTTTGTAATCTTGGAGCCAATTTAACTGTCAAGTGTCTAGAATATTGTTTTAAAGTTCAAAAGAGCCTGTGGGTAGGTTTTTTTTTTTTTTGGTCCGTCATGAGGCTTGAACTCTGGGCTTGGGCGCTGTCCTCAAGGTGAGCGTTCTACCGCTTGAGCCACAGTACCACTTCCAGTTATCTAGTAGTTTATTGGAGATAAGAGTCTCATGGACTTTCCTGCCTGGGCTGGCTTGGAACCGTGATCCTCAGATCTCAGCCTCCTGAGTAGCTAGGATTACAGGCGCGAGCCATCGGCGTCTGGCATGTGGGTAGTTTTTTAAAATGAGATTGTTGTGTGTTTAATACAGGAAAGAGATTAACAAAGAGTGAGGCAGTCACTTGGAAAAAAAAAAAATCAGGGCAAAATGCAGCAAGCAAATCAGTTGTATCATTAGATAGGCCCTCAAGCCAAGTAAGTTTATTTTCTAAGTGAAGCAAAAGTCTATTTAAGCTGGACGTCTGTGGCTAACACCTATAATCCTAGCTACTCAGGAGGCTGAGATCTCAGGATCGAGGTTCAAAGCCAGCCTGGACAGGAGAGGCTGAGAGTCTCTTATCTCCAATAAACCACTCAGAAAACTGGAAGTGGCACTGTGGCTCAAGTGGTAGAGCACTAGCCTTGAGCTGAAGAGCTAAGGGACAGCGCCCAGGCCCAGAGTTCAAGCCCCATGACCAAAAAAAAAAAAGTCTGTTTAAATGAGATTTGAATACGTGAAGTTTTGTTATACTGAGTTCTCTTAATTTTTCCAACAATATTTTATTTATGTACTTATTGTTTATTTCTTTCTTTAGAGGTGCTAGGGATTGAACTCAGAGCCTTGTGCCCTAGAGACATACTCCTTGCCTTTTTATTCTACTTTTGAGACACTATCATCCTTCTGTATATCTTAGGCTGACCTTGAATTCTGGGTTTTGTCTGTTTCCCTGCTACCCTACCCCCAAACTGAGATCACTGGAGAGGGGACATGTCCTGTTAATCAGGTTCTCTTTTTTTTTTTCTTTTTCTTTTTTCCAGTCCCAGGGCTTGAATGCAGGGCCTGGGCACTATCCTTGAGCTTCTTTTGCTCAAGGCTAGCCACTCTACCACTTGAGCCACAGCACCAGCGACACTTCTGGCTTTTTCTGTTTATATGGTACTGAGGAATGGAACCCAGGGCTTCATGAATGGTAGGCAAGCACTCTACCACTAAGCCACATTCCCAGCCCCCAAAGGTAAGGTCTTAATGCTTCTTCACAATTGTGCATTACCTGTTACTACGTTCAACCTGGCATTCCCAGCATTAATTACATTTTGTATGATTTTATATTCTCTGTCCTTTTTCAGATTCCTCTCTGACCAAAGGGACTTCAAAGAAGAAAGAAAATGGCTTCTGAATCTGAAACTCTGAATCCCAGTGCTAGGATAATGACTTTTTATCCAACTATGGAAGAGTTCCGGAACTTTAGTCGGTACATTGCCTATATTGAATCACAAGGAGCACATCGGGCTGGGCTGGCCAAGGTAAGGAGTAGGATAAGGTTTTTTTTCTGACTTGGTTTTCCCACAGTTGAGACTACAATTGGGTGGGGCAGTGACTTTAGTGTCTTGGATTTGTAAGCTAATTTCTGCTGTTAACATCTGGAGAGACTGAGCTGATTGTAGTCTTCACAAGGTCTGATAAAGAGTCTGTGGTTCTTTCTTCAGCTCAGAGGTGGAGCCTTAGTGAGGCATGGAGTGGTTTGTGAGCTTCTATTAACCAGTCTTACTGCTCAAACTCAGGGCAAGGGTGCTGTCCCTAAGCTTCTTTTTTTTTTTTTTTTTTGTCGGTCGTGGGGCTTGAACTCTGGTCCTGGGCGCTGTCCCTCAGCTCTTCAGCTCAAGGCGAGAGCTCTACCACTTGAGCTACAGCGCCACTTCCGGTTTTCTGGTGGTTTATTGGAGATAGGAGTCTCACGGTCTCTCCTGCCTGGGCTGGCTTTGAACCGCGATCCTCAGATCTCAGCCTCCTGAGTTGCTAGGATTACAGGCGTGAGCCACCAGCGCCCGGCGATCCCTAAGCTTCTTTTGCTCAAGGCTAGCTCTACCCTTTGAGCCACAGCTCTACTTCCATCTTTTTTGGTAGTTTATTGGAGATGAGTCTTATGGATTTTCTAGCCTAGTCTGACTTCTCCAGTTTCCTTAGTAGCTAGGATTTATAGGCCTGAGCCACCAGTGCCTGGATGTTTTGTTGTTGTTTTGTATGTGTGTATGTTTTGTTTTTTGTGGGTCTTGGAGCTTGAACTCAAGTTCTGAGAGCAGTCCCTAAGCTCTTTTTAAAAAAATTTTTGTTTTCTTTTTTGTGTCAATCCTGGGGCTTGAACTTGAGGCCGGGGCACTGTCCCTGAGCTCAAGGCTAGCACTCTACCACGTTAGCCATAGTGCCACTTCTGGCTTCTTCTTTTTTTTTTTTTTCCTGGCTATGTGGTACTGAGGAATTGAACCCAGGGCTTCATTCAGGGATGCCAGGCAAGCAGTCTACAACTAAGACACATTCCCAGCCCAATAAGTACGTTTTCTATTGCATAGTATCATCTATTTCCTAATTCTCACCTACTCCTTCCCTCCCCTCTCCACCCACAGATTGCATAGTTAAAAATATGTTTTGGTACTGGGATTTGTACTCAGGGTCTTCTATACTAGATGGTTCCTGTAACACAAGCCACGATTCCAGCCCTGCTTTTTGCTGGATATTTGGGATGTTACATTTTGCGATAATTGAGAGAGTCAGTCTTTAACCTGATAAGCCACGGAGGCATCCAGTAAGTTGTTGCAAGGAGGCAGAGGGTTGGTATTGGAACTGGGTCAGGATTAGCATGACAGCATCACTTCCTGTGTGGCCTAGGTAAATGAGACACTCTTTGTAGTACATTCCACTGTTTGGATAGCAGCTTAGGCTGCTACACTGCCTTGTTGGTTCTCATTTGACTTTAATTTTTTTATTGTCAGTCATGTGGCTTGAACTCTGTGCTGGGCGCTATCCCTGAGCTCTTCAGCTCTAGGTTCTACCACTTGAGCCACAGTGCCACTTACAGTTTTCTGGAGGTTAATTGGAAATAAGAGTCTCACAAAGGTGGGCGCCAGTGGCCATGCCTATAATCCTAGCTACTCAGGAGACTGAGATCTGAGGATCTCGGTTCAAAGCCAGCTTGGGCAGGAAAGTCCATGAGACTTTTTTTTGTCTTTGGTCGGTTGTAGGACTTGAACTCTGGGCTTGGGCGCTGCCCCTGCACTCTTCATTTCAAGGTGAGTGGTCTACCACTTGAGCCACAACGCCTCTTCTGGTTTTCTAGTGTTTTTTTGGAGATAGGAGTCTTACAAGACTTTCCTGCCCAGGCTGGCTTTGAACCTCGATCCTCAGATCTCAGTCTCCAGAGTAGCTAGGATCACAGGCATGAGCCACTGATGCCTGGCTCCCTGGAGACTCTTACCTCCAATAAACCACTAGAAAACCGGAAGTGGCGCTGTGGCTTAAGCGGTAGAGCGCTCACCTTGAGCTGAAGAGCTGAGGGACAGCACCCAGGCCCAGTGGTCAAGCCCTAGGACTAGCAAAAAAGAAAAAGAAAGAAAAAAAAGTCTCATGAACTTTTCTGCTGGAGCTGAATTTGAACTGCGATCTTCAGAACTCAGCCTCCTGGGTAGCAAGGATTGCAGGCATGAGCCACCAGCACCCAGCTCATCTGACTTTTATTTTTTGTGGTCTCTGTAGGTTGTTCCTCCCAAAGAATGGAAGCCAAGAACATCCTATGATGACATTGATGACTTGGTCATTCCCGCACCCATCCAGCAGCTGGTGACTGGACAGTCTGGGCTCTTTACCCAGTATAACATACAGAAGAAAGCCATGACTGTTCGGGAGTTCAGGAAGATTGCAAACAGTGATAAGTGAGTAGAATTCCTTTGGGTGGGGGTGGGGGCAGTACTGAGGTTTGAATACAGGGCCTGGGCACTGTCCCTTAGCTTTTTCTCCTCAAAGCTGGATAATTGGAGATAAGAGTCTCATGGACTTTAGTGCCTGGGCAGGCTTCAAACTGATCCTTAGATCTCAGTCTTCTTTTTTTGGAAGTATAGGGGTTTGAACTCAGGGCTTTGTGCTCTCTAGATAGATGTTACCACTTAAGTATATCCCCATCCTTGTTTGCTATAATTATTATTCTAATACAGTCTCATATTTATGTCCAGACCAACTTAGATGGTGTCTTTGTATTTATGCTTCCTACATAGCTAGGATTATAAGTATACTACTATGCTCAGCTTTTATTGATTGACATGGGGTCTTAGAATACCCATCCTCCTGATTTTTGCCTTTCAAGTAGCTAGAAATACAGGGATGAATAAAATTGTGCCTGGCTAAATTTGTCCGTATTGGGTTTTTTGTTTTTGTTTGTGGTGTTAGTACTTGGACTTGAACTCAGGGTCTATCTATTAGTCTTTTCACTCAAGGCTGGCTCTCTTCCACTTGTGTCATAGCTCCACTTCATTTTTCATTGGTTAATTGGAGATAAGATTCTCAGACTTTCCTACCTGGACTGGCTTCGAACCTTGACTCTATGACTCAGCCCCTTGAGCAGCTAGAATTCTAAGAATGAGCTATTGATACCTGGCTAGTCCATATTCTGGTATAAAGTAATCTATTTTTTCCTACCAGAAGTAAAATAATTATATGGGCTTTTTTTTTTTGAAAAAAAAATTTTTTTTTTAGGCCCTAAAGACTGAATGCAGGGCCTTGTATAAGCTAGGCAGTTACTTGTACAGGCTAGGCAAGTACTCAACCATTGAGCTAGATCCACCACCAGCTCTAGAAAAAGAAGAATTTCCTGGCTCTGGCAAATTATATAGTTACACAGGAGAAAGTTGGAGGTGGTTGGGAAAAGAACTTTTTCCAGATTTGTTGATACACCTTGCTTGTCAAAAAGTGGCCTTGGTAGTTCCCCTGGGGATCCTGTCTTCAGAAACATAAAGATTTTCTGTACTCATTGGCTACAGTCTCAAATCTGTTCTTTTTCTTTTTCATTTTTTTGTGCCATTCCTGGGGCTTGAACTCAGGGCCTGGGTGCTGTCCCTGAGCTTTTGTGCTCAAGGCTAGTAACCTACCCTTCTATTAGAACCAGAACTCTACTTCCAGCTTTTTGGTGGTTAATTGGAGATAAGTCTCATAGAAGCCAGGCACTGGTGACTCATGCCTATAATCCTAGCTACTTAAGAGGCCTCTTGAGTTCTGAGGATCATGGTTCAAAGCCAGCCCTGTCTCTTATCTCCAGTTAACCACCAGAAAACCAGAAGTAGTGCTGTGGTTCAAGTGGTGGAGAGCTCGCTTTGAGCTGAAGAGCTCTGGGACAGGGCCTAGTCCCAGAGTTCAAGCCCCATGACTACCACCACCAACAAAAAAAGAGTTTCATGGAGCCAGGCATCTGAGGCTCACATCTGTAATCCTAATTACTCAGAAGACTGAGATCTGAGGATCAGAGTTTGAAGCCAGGCCAGGCAGAAAAGTCCCCATGAGACTTTTTTTTTTTTTTTGGTCGGTCATGGGGCTTGAACTCTGGGCTTGGACGCTGTCCCTGCACTCTTCTGCACAAGGCATGCGCTCTACCGCTTGAGCCACAGCACCACTTTAGGTGTTCCAGTGGTTTATTGGAGATAAGAGTCTAATAGACTTTTCTGCCCAGGCTGGCTTTGAACCATGATTCTCAGATCTCAGTCTCCTAAGTAGTTAGGATTACAGGCGTGAGCCACTGGTGCTTCCATTCTTATCTGTCAGCTTCTGATTAGCTAGGATTACAGATATGAGCCACCCATTATTACCCAGCTTTCATTTTTTTTTAAATCTAATTCTCTTGTCAAGGTGTGATGTTAAGAGGGGTTACAGTTACGTATGTAAGGTAATGAGTGCATTTATTGTCAAACATTGTTATCCTCTCTCTTGTTTTTCTCCCACTCATTGTTTTGACATTAACAGGTGTGAATCCATATGCCTACCAAGCAAGTTGCCATTTTGTATCACTCCATACTTTGCCAGTATGGTATCTGAAAATGTCTTTAGCCTGTGCTGTTATATACAGTCTTCTTTTTGGATTCTCAACCTCAGACTCACAGAGAGCAGTTTTTGTGTTTTCTTCATTTGGTTTTGACTGCTTCTTAATCATCATTATCAGATCTTCTTACTTCCCTTTTTGCTCTGCAGTTTTGAGTTTGCACAGGGATGGCTGTCTTTCCCTTGCTTCATTTCCTGGGTCTTTCCCCTCTACTCATGTCTCTTTTTTTTTGGCCATTCGTGGGGCCTGAACTCTAGGCCTGGGCGCTGTCCCTCAGCTCTTCAGCTCAAGGCAAGCGCTCTACCACTGAGCCACCTTCCCAGCCCCTACTCATGTCTCTTTTGCAGCCTGTCCTGTGAGCCAGAGCCGAGTACAGCTCACACTGTTCACTCTTCTGTGCTTAGTATCTCTCTCACTTCATAGTGCCACTTCCAGTGAGCCACAGCACCACTTCCAGCTTTTTCTGCTTATGTGGTGCTGATGAATTGAACCCAGGGCCTCATGCATGCAAAGCAAGCACTCTACCAACTGAGCCACCTTCTCAGCCACTTCTGGTTTTCTGGTGGTTTATTGGAGATAGGAGTCTCACGGACTTTCCTGCCTGGGCTGGCTTTGAACCACGATCCTCAGATCTCAGCCTCCTGAGTAGCTAGGCTAACAGGCGTGAGCCACCAGCGCCCGGCCCATAATAACTTATTTATTTATTTACTTATTTATTTATTTGCCGGTCATGGGGCCTGAACTCTGGGCCTGGGCACTGTCCCTCAGCTCTTCAGCTCAAGGCTAGTGCTCTACCACTTTGAGCCACAGCGCCACTTCCAGCTTTTTCTGCTTATGTGGTGCTGAGGAATCGAAATCAGGGCCTCATGCATGCAAGGCAAGCACTCTACCACTGAGCCACTTTCCCAGCCCCCCATAATAACTTTTAAATGGGTAGTTTTTTTTTGTTTGTTTGTTTGGTTTTGGTTTTTTTTGGTCTGGGGGCTTGAACTCAGGGCTTTTGCTCCAGGCTAATGCTCTATCACTTTGAGCCATAGCTCTACTTCCGGTTTTCTGGTGCTTTATTCAGATGAGAGTCTCATGGACTTTCCTGACTGGAATGGCTTTGAACTGTGTTCCTTAGATCTCTGCCTCCTGAGTAGCCAGGCATGAGCCTAGCTAAATGGGTAACAAGTTTGAAAAATGCAGATTTTTTTCTGTAGCTTTTGTCTATATCAGGTATGTATGTATATATACACGGGTATATATACATACATGTATGTAAATTTTACAAGTATTTGAAATACGAACTATATGTATATTTTTTTAATTTTTTATTTTTTGTCAGTGGTGGGGCTTGAACTGTGGGCCTGAGTGTTATCCCTGAGCTCTTCAGCTCAAGCGAGCATTCTACCACTTGAGCCACATCACCAGTTCTGGTTTTCTGGTAGTTAACTGGAGATGAGTCTCATGGACTTTCCTTCCCAGGCTGGCTTTGAACTGTGATCCTCAGATCTCAGCCTCCTGAGTATATTTTGCTAAGTATTTTTCCTATTTTTTTTTTCCCCAGACCTAGGGCTTGAACTCAGGGCCTGGGCTGTGTCCCTGAACCTGAGCCACAGTGCCACTTCTGGCCTTTTCTGTTTATGTGGTACTAAGGAATCAAACCCAGGGCTTCAAGCATGCTAGGCAAGCACTCTACCACTAAGCCATATTCCCAGCCCCCTTAAACTAGTTTAATTGAGGTGCAGGGCCTGGGTGTGTGGGGGGGGAGGGGGGGAGGGGATATTGAGGGAGGCACTTCCATTAGAGTTTTGAAAGTCAAGATTAACTATCATTTAGTCCAAATGTCTTGATGTTCTTGCCTTAACATGGTTCATAATGCCTACTGAATTTATTCAGTGGCTAATTCTTTTGTGTTGTTTGTTTGTCTTGACTTTGAAAGGTATTGTACCCCACGCTACAGTGAATTTGAAGAGCTTGAGCGAAAGTACTGGAAAAACCTCACATTCAATCCTCCCATTTATGGTGCGGATGTCAATGGTACTCTCTATGAAAAGGTGAGGCTCTCTCAAATCTTCCTGCTACGTTTTTGAAAATTTGCAACATAATACCAGCCTTTGTGTCTAGCACTTAGTAGGTACTTAAAAGCTGCTTGGTGCATTAGTAGATTAACAAATGAATGGTCTGCCACCAACTGATTTGCTATTCTCACTTAATTTTGCATGTGACTGAACTTTATTTCTCCCACTGTACAGGTGAAGTAGATGATCTGGTATTTTTTTCAAGGGCTGTGAGCATAGTCTGTGGGAGGTAGATGATGAGTTCTTGAAAGAGTGGGGTGGATTGCAGAAAATGAAATGATGGGGGGAAAACCATGTGCTTTCTGCAGAAAAAAGATCCCTGACTAATCTAATGAAAGGGGTATATATTTAAGAAGAGAGACATATTTAGATTTTCAGTACTCTCGAGCAGAAACTATTTTAACTGCTTGCATTGGCTTGGGGTGTTGTGCTTTATGGTGTAGAGAATTGCCTTCCTGTAGAAGGGGGAGTATTTGAGACTGCATTTGGATGATTTAAACAATCTGTAGGGCTTTTGAGGTATTATCTCTCTGATCAGTTCTAACCGTTTTAGAAATTATTGGAAGAAAGGAGTTTCAGCAGTGCATGAAGTGTGGTCATAACAATTGCTTTGGATGGTGGGAAGTCAGACTTTCTAGAGATAGATGGCAGAAAAGACCTGGGCTAGGGAGGTGGAAAAGCAGGGCATGATAATCTGGAACCTGCTTACAGGAAGAGGCTCACAGCTGGCCATTATAACTCAGGGAAAAGAAACTGTAGACTTTGTGTGATGATACTTCCCAGTAGGAACTGGAGCTAAAAGCCATGAGACTGTTACAGTTAATGTTTGCTTTCCATACTTGTTGTTAAGACTGCTCTTGGTTTGTAACCCAGGCTCACCTTCAACTTTCTTTGTATATAACCCAGGCAGGCCTTGAACTTGATATCCTCTTGCCTTTCAAGTACTAGGATTGCAGTTGCAGGCAAACACCAGCCCACCTAGGGCTGTGTGTGTGTGTGCACGCACGTGGCACGCACACACACAGGCCACGAGTATGTTACTCCCAGGGCTTGAACTGATTACCTGGGAACTGTCTCTAAGCTTCTTTTTCTTTGTGGGAAAAAAATGTATATTTATAATTTTCCAGCTGGATTCAGTTTAGATGATTCCAATTTTGTTGGCAACATCTAAAGCATCATAATCAGGAGCCAGTCGAACATATGCCTTCTTCTCTCCATCAGGTCTGATCAGGGAATTGACCTTAGCCACATCAATGTCCTAGAGCTTCTTCACAGCCTGTTTGATCTGATGCTTGTTGGCCTTAACATCCACAATGAACACAAGTGTGTTGTTGTCTTCTATTTTCTTCATGGCTGCCTCAGTAGTCAGAGGGAACTTGATGATAGCATAGTGGTCAAGCTTGTTTCTCCTCGGAGCACTCTTCCGAGGGTATTTGGGCTGTCTTCAGAGCCGTAGGGTCTTGGGCCGCTGGAATCTGGGTGAAGTACGGATCTTCTTCTTTCTTTCTGTGGACACCTTTCAGCACTGCCTTCTTGGCCTTCAAGACCTTGTCCTTGGCTTCGGCTTTAGGAGGGGCAGGAGCTCCCTTCTTCGCTTTCGATGCCATCTTGGTGAAAAGGTCTGAGCTTCTTTTGCTCAAGGCTAGCACTCTGCCACTTGAGCCACAGTGTCACTTCCAGCTTTTTCTGTGTATGTGGTACTGAGGAATCAAACCGAGGCTTCATGCATTTTAAGCACTCTACCACTAAGCCACATTCTTAACCCACTTCTGGCATTTCCTGAGTACTTTTATTGGAAATAAAGAGTCTCACAGGCTTTACTGCCCAGATTGGCTTCAAACTGAGATCCTCAAATCTCAGCCTCCTGAATAGCTAGGATTACAGGCATAAGCCATTAGTCTCCAGATGTTTTTTAGTGCTAAGGAAGCATGTCAAATACAAGCCTTTTTTTTTTTTTTTTGTCAGTCATGGGGCTTGAACTATGGACTTTGGCACTGTCCCTGTGCTCTTCAGCTCAAGGCAAGCGCTCTACCTGAGTCACAGTGCCACTTCTGGTTTTCTGGTGGTTTATTGGAGATAAGAGTCTCAGGGACTTTCCTGCCTGGACTGGCTTTGAACTGTGATCCTCAGATCTTAGCCTCCTGAGTAGCTAGGATTACAGGCATGAGCCACTGGAACCCAGCTAATACAAACCTTTTTTTTTTTTTTTTTCCCTCTCTCGTTTTTTTTTTTGCCAGTCCTGATGCTTGAACTTAGGGCGTGGGAACTCTTCCTGTGCCTTTCTTTCTGTGCTCAAGGCTAGCACTCTTGTGCCACAGTGCCACTTCTGGCTTTTTCTGTATGTATATGTGGTACTGAGGAATTGAACCCAGGGTTTCAGGTATGCACTCCACCACTAAGCCACATTCCCAGCCCAACATGCCTTTTCTTGAGCCATACCAACTGAGCTATATTCTCAATACCTGGGCTCTACTCTACCCTTGAATTCTGGGCCTAGGCCCAGTCTCTTAGCTCTTCAGTTCAAGGCGAGCACTCTACCACTTGAGCCACGATGCCACTTCCTGTTTTCTGGTGGTTTATAGGAGATAAGAGTCTCACAGACTTTCCTGCCCAAGCTGGCTTTGAACCATGATCCTCAGATCTAAGCCTCCTGAGTAGCTAGGATTACAGGCGTGAGCCACCGGTACCAACGGGTGCTGAGCTTTTGATGGTATTCCTTATGTTGGCTGGCCATGAAAGCTCACCTGAGGCCTCTCCATGCAAATATAACCTGTCTGGACTATCATTTGCTTGGCAGCATGTGGATGAGTGGAATATTGGCCGGCTGAAGACAATCCTGGACTTGGTGGAAAAGGAGAGTGGCATCACTATTGAAGGTGTGAACACCCCATACCTGTACTTTGGCATGTGGAAGACATCTTTTGCCTGGCATACAGAAGACATGGACCTCTACAGCATCAACTATCTGCACTTTGGGGAGCCCAAGTCCTGGTAAAGGCAGCTTGCACTTGTTCCCAGCCTTCTGGCCTTCCATGCACACAGGAAGTACCTAGGGTGGTTGAAATGAGGATTCTGGTACTTTAAACTTGGGGTGGAGCTGGTATTCCACCTTTGAGATGAGCTTTCAAGCCTTTTTTTTTTTTTTCCCCAGCCCCCAGGGCTTGAACTCAGGGCCTAGAAGCTGTCACTCAAGGCTAGTAAGCTATCACTACGAGCCCCAGCTGCCACTTCCTATTTTAAGGTAGTTAATTGGAGATAGGAGTCTCAGAGACTTTCCTGCCTGGGCTGGCTTCAAACTAATCCTCAGTTCTCAGCCTCCTGAATAACTAGGATTACAGGCTTGAGTCAACAGCACCCAGCTTCAGGTCATCATTTAAGTACAAGGTTTTATTTGGCTAAGCCAGTACTCTGCTACACTCCTACCTCTTTTTTGTGTGTGTGTTTTTAAAGTTTCTTTTTTTTGGGGGGGTCCAGTTGTGGGGCCTGAACTCTGGGCCTGGGCGCTGTCCCTCAGCTCTTCAGCTCAAGGCTAGTGGTCTACCATTTGAGCCACAGCACCACTTCCGGCTTTTTTCCTTTTTGCTTATGTGGTGCTGAGGAATCGAACCCAGGGCCTCAGGCATGCAAGGCAAGCGCTCTACCACTGAGCCACCTTCCCAGCCCCTAAAGTTTCTAATGTTATTATAAAGGTGATGTACAGAGGGATTACAGTTACATAAGTCAGGTAAAGTATACATTTCTTTTTGGAGAGTGTCACCCTTCCCTCGCACTCTCTCTCTGTTTTCCCCTCCCTTCCTCAGCTACAAATTGTACAGTTCACGGTCCACATAATTTCTAGCGAGTACCACTGCTGCATTTGTTCACCCTTTGTACTAGCCTAGCCACTGCTTTCCTAACTCATTCTTCTAAATAAGCCCGAGGCATTTCTTAGAGGCAGACTTTCAAGACTGGAATCAGTTCTTGAGATGATAGAAAGCTTTCATTTTCTCTAGGAAAAACCAATTGCTGGGCAGCAGTGCGTTTAATAGAGGAGGGGGATCCACAAAGCTACTCGGCTGTTTCCTGGTATCCCAATACTGGTAACAACCAGTCTTGCCAGGAGATGGCGATTCACTGTGTTCTCTCTCCATACTGCCTGTCCATAAAATGCTGAGCCTCAGCATTTTAATGACTATGTTGCTGGCGATGATGATGATCAAGACTTTTGCAAGGCATGCACTCTACCGCTGAGCTACCTTCCCAGCCCTGATCAAGACTTTTGAAGCCAATCCTCAGAGCAGATGGAAAGCAGAAAGTGAAAAGCAACCATACTGTGGCAGAAAAGTTTTGAAGAGCAAGTCGTGGCTCTGAGGTCTGCTAGAGACCTAGATGAGGACCTGTGGGGTGGGCTGGAGGGATGTTTGGGGATGGGAGCTAGGGAAGTGTGGCCAGCCTGCTGGAACAGTAGCAGAGTTACTTGATAAAGAAGACCCTGGCACACAAATCCACTGGTGCTGTGTTCAGGCTGAGAAATGAGCCATCAGGGAAATTGTATTGGTTTGGATTTACTTTTTGAACATATTAAGCCACATCCATTCCCTGGGTAATGTAATGTTGAGGAAAGAAGCCTTTTATACCCATAGTTATTTAAACCATCAAGCCATTGTCCCTGGCCATTGTCCCACTAGAGGGCTTGGCTTGTACAGTTTGCCATTGTTCTCTTGCATCATTGTTTATTCTAAAGTTCCCTGCCACTGGATTTCCACTCTGATTCATCCAGATGTTTGGGGCAGTAATTGAGTACTCACCTATCATGTGCAAGATCCTGAGTTTCATCCTCAGGACTGCATGAAAGTAAACGAAGGAAAAGAGATGGTTTAGTTACTGTGTATTCTTTTTTTTTTTTTTTGGTCATGGGACTTGACCTCTGGGCCTGGGCGCTGTCCCTCGGCTCTTCAGCTCAAGGCGAGCGCTCTACCACTTGAGCTACAGCACCACTTCCAGTTTTCTAGTGGTTTATTGGAGATGAGAGTCTCATGGACTTTTCTGCCTGGGCTAGCTTTGAACCATGATCCTCAGATCTCAGCCTCTTGAGTAGCTAGGATTATAGGCGTGAGCCACTGGCGCCCTGCTAGAGCTCCAGAGACTTCTGATGAATGTCAAAGAGTCTTTTTGGGGGGGGTCGGGGTGCTGATGCTGAGACTTAAACTCATGGCCTTGTCCTCTTTCTTAGCTTTTTCATCAAAGCTGGCACTCTACCACTTGACCTACACCTCCACTTACTGCTTTTGGGTAGTTAGTTGGAGGTAAGAGTCTCAGATTTTTCTGCACAGGCTCACATAGAACCTTGATCCTCAGATCTCAGCCTCCTGAGTGGCTAGAATTGTATGCATTGAACCATCAGTGCCCAACTTAAAGACCTTTAGGTGACACTTTCCTCAACTCTGTTCTATTTTATAGGGGAACTGTTTGGATTAGAGTTTTTTGAGTGAAGATCCTAGGTATATTTTGCTTGTTAGCCTTGAACTGTTGGGCTTAAGCCAATCCCTGCCTCAATCCAAACCCAGCTGCTCCCCTAAGCTGGGACCATAAGCATGTGCCTTGCTGAAATATTCTTCAGCATATATAAGAAAGGTTGAGGGGTTGGGAAGGTGGCTCAGTGGTAGAGCGCTTGCCTTGCATGCCTGAGGCCCTGGGTTTGATTCCCCACCACCACATAAGCAAAAAGAAAAAAAGCCAGAAGTGGCACTGTGGCGCAAGTGGTAGAGCGCTAGCCTTGAGCTGAAGTGCTGAGGGACAGCGCTCAGGCCCAAAGTTCAGGCCCCATGACTGGACCCAAAAAAAAAAAAAAAAGGTTGAAATAAGGTTGCTGTGAATTCAGAATGTAAAGTTGAATAGTTTTGCAAAAGTTTAATTAAAATTGTTTTAGGCATTATTTTCCTTCCTTCCATCCTTTCTTCTTTCTTTCTCTGTCTCTGTCTCTCTGTCTCTGTCTCTCTCTCTCTTTCTTTCTGAAAAGTAGCTTCTGTGATGTCTAGACACCCCACCAGGTGGAGGAGTAATTATTAGGTAATCAGTATAGCTTTTATGGAGATGAAGGGAAGATGATGAGTTCAGCAGCTGATAAGGTACCATGTCTTTAGTGTCTCCTCCATCTCTTCCCTATTTTCCATTGCTCCAGCCTCCCCCAGTTAGGCCTTTCCAGTTCTGCTGGGAGCATTTTGAAAGTCACAGAGGTGAGGTATATAATGCCATGCTTTATTTCCCACAACCATTTAAACTTTTTTTTTTTTGTCATGGGGCTTGAACTCTGGACATGTGCACTGTCCCTTAGCTCTTCAGCTCAAGACCAGTGCTCTACCACTTGAGCCATAGCACCACTTCCAGTTTTCTGGTGGTTTATTGGAGATAAGAGTCTCACGGACTTTCCTGCCCAAGCTGGCTTTGAACTGCAATCCTCAGATCTCAGCCTCCTGAGTATCTAGGATTACAGGCGTGAGCCACTGGTACCTGGCACACTTCTTATTTTTAATGGACACATTATCATATGTATAATATATGTATTCATACCCCATGACATTTCAGTACATGTATGCAGTGTGCAGTGATTAGATAAGGGTAGTTGGCATGTCCATCACCCGAGACATTAATCAAGCTCCTTAGTTCCTGTCATCCTCTGCCCAGTGTCTGATGCTCTTATTTGGTTGCAGGTACTCTGTTCCACCTGAGCATGGAAAACGGTTGGAGCGCCTTGCCAAAGGTACCATGCCTCTTCTGGGTGTTGGATGGATCCTCCTACAAACTGCTTTCTGCTCAGAAGTATCTGTTGTCTGTGGTCTGTGGCCTTTCTTAGGCTTGCACTGTGTGTATCTGTGAGCTCATTTGCCAGATTGGCTACCTTAGCAGAGCTAACTAGATTCTTTGCTCTGCCTAAGAAGAAATGTTGTCCTTACTTCTTTGACTTTTTTTTTTTGGTCGGTCGTGGGCCTTGAACTCTAGGCTTGGGCGCTGTCCCTGCGCTCTTCAGCTTAAGGCACTCTACCGCTTGAGCCTTATAGAGCCACTTCCAGTTTTCTAGTGGTTTATTGGAGATAAGAGTCTCACGGACTTTCCTGCCTGGGCTGGCTTTGAACCAAAATCCTCACATCTCAGCCTCCTGAGTAGTTAGGATTATAGATATGAGCCACCGGTGCCTGGCTTTCTTTGACTCTTTTTACTGGCATTTCTCCCCAACCCTACCCAGCCTGGGTTTCTTTGCCCAAGGAAATACATGAGTCATTTTGGTCATGGCTCTTCTGCCAGTACTTCAAATATTAAAGCCAGTGTTGAGTAGACCTGTTTCTCTAGAGAGTCTATTTTGAGAACCGTAGGGTAGATGTGGTTACGAAGCCTGAGGGTATGATTTTAGTATTTCAGCACTAGAGAAAGTCCTAGTTTTCAGACCTCTGTAAGAACAGAGGCAGCTTATATAAATGATCCCAGTCCTCCAAATTCAGTTTGACTATGCAGACAGTGCCCTATTGGAGTGAGCCCAAAGGCTCACTGCAGAATTTTAGAATGAGCCCAGAGGATCATTTGTCACTCATCCTCCTTCATCCAGATAAGATACACAAGTGTGAAGTGACTCTAGGATTACAGAGCTAGTGTGGAGCCCCTCATTAACCTAGACCTGCTTTTTTTTTTTTTGTTCAGGCTTTTTCCCAGGAAGTTCTCAAAGCTGTGAGGCTTTCCTCCGCCATAAGATGACCCTGATTTCCCCTCTGATGCTGAAGAAATACGGCATTCCCTTTGACAAGGTAAGCTGATTTTACATATGGAAGTTAGTAGATTTACATCGAAGCTACCTTTTGTGCTCTTTGCTTTAGTTGGACTCTAGTTCATCACTTCATCTGGTGGGATTTCATCTACAAGTGGGCCTGATGTGATCTGGTGCTGGGGAAAGAAAAGTCAGGTCCCTTGCACAGGGTTAGTATGGAGGAAGGGTTCATTGTATACAGTCTTATTTGCATCTGATGTATTTAAGACTTTGTTTTTTACACAAGACAGAGACACTGCTCATTTTATGCCTCATTCTTGCTTGCGGAGTTAATAGTGGCAGAGTCAAAGTTCAGGCACAAGCCCACTTCTGTAACTTTCTGTCATGTATAGCGGCTGTTTTAAGTCTGTTCTTCTTTAGGTTACTCAAGAAGCTGGAGAATTTATGATCACTTTTCCTTATGGTTACCATGCTGGGTTCAACCATGGCTTCAATTGTGCCGAGTCTACCAATTTTGCTACCCGTCGGTGGATTGAGTATGGGAAGCAGGCTGTGCTGGTAAGTCCTAGTGAATTCTTCCTGTAATACCATGACCAAGGGCATTTGGGTGAGGCCATTGATGTTAGGTGCATTGTCTGGGGTCAGGATGTGTCTCTTAACTGCTGGAATTCAGAAACGGTTACTCACAAAGAGTTTTTTTCTGTGTGTTCCGTTTTAGAAAGTATGAAATAATGTTCCACACTTCATTAATCAATAAGAACATACCTGTGTATAGTATTTGCTAAAGCCCTTCTGAGGTCCCCATTCCCCTCCATACTCCCATACCCCTTTTTATTTTGACAGTATTGGACTTGAATTCAGGGCTTAAGGCTAGCACTCTACCATTTGAGCTTCAGCTCTACTTCTGGCTCTTTGCTGGTATATTGGAGATCGGAGTCTCACAGACATTCCTGCCCTGGCTGGCTCTGAACCTTAAACAATCCTCAGATCTCAGCTTCCCAAGTAGCTAGGATTATAGACGTGAGCCACCAGCTCCTGGCCCCACTCCCTTTTCTTTTTGCAGTATTGAGATTGAATGAACCCAGGACTTTTTAAAATTGCATTTTGACACAGGGTCTCACTAAATTTCCTGTGCTGGCCTCAAACCTGGAATCCTCCTGTCTCAGTCTGGGATTAATTATAGATTTTGCCACCATGCCTGGTTAGACTTTGTTTGAGAAATCCTGAAGGGTTTATGTATATTACAGGCAAGCAGCAGGATTGGACCTGTTTTGGTTTTTTTTTGTTTTTTTTTTGGGTCTGGTTGTGGGGCCTGAACTCTGGGCCTGGGCACTGTCCTTCAGCTCAAGGCTAGCGCTCTACCACTTGAGCCACAGTGCCACTTCTAGCTTTTTCTGCTTATGTGGTGCTGAGGAATCGAACCGAGGGCCTCATGCATGCAAGACAAGCACTCTTACCACTGAGCCATCTTCTAGCCCCCCCTCCTTTTTTTTTGTGCCAGTCTAGCAGTTTATGCTTGAGGCCCAGGCATGGTCCCTGAGCTTTTTTTTTTTTTTTTTTGCTAGCACTCTACTAATTGACATTTCTGGAATTTTCTGTGTATGTGGTATTGAGGAACCGAGCCTAGGGCTTCATGTGTGCTAGGTAAGCACTCTACCACTAGGCCCCATTCCCAGCCCTAGGGTTGGACCTTTAATGCAAGGTAGTAAACGGGCTGTTGTGATCCTGGCTTGCATAACTCCAAGCACAGGTGGCTGTTAACCTTTCTGGGCCCTGGGTGAACAACGCAACTCTAACCGATCGTGCCCAGATGAGTCCACCCCTCTGCCATGAATTCTCAGCTTTTTTTTTTTTTCTGCTTCCTTCACGTTCAAAAGCTCAGCAAATATAATATCCCTTTAGTCTGTAAACTGAAAGAGTGTGGTCTGAAACCATATCATACTTTTTTCTACTTGGAGGAGGGAGGGTGGGATGCAATGTAGGTGGGGTGGGAGCAGGTAAGATATGCTCACCTGTGGATTCCTTGCGGCAGTGCTCCTGCAGGAAGGATATGGTGAAGATCTCCATGGATGTGTTTGTGAGGCGGTTCCAGCCAGAAAGGTACAAACTTTGGAAAGCTGGGAAGGACAGCACAGTTATTGATCATACTCTGCCCACGCCAGAAGCAGCCGAATTTCTGAAGGAGAGTGAACTGTCCACAAGAGCTGTGAATGAGCAGTGCCCAGAGGAGGACATGGAGGGGATCGAGGATGGAGAGGAGGGGGACCTGAAGAGAAGGTAATTGGGAGCCCTGTGCGGTTGCTGGTATCTGGGCAGCTCCTATAGCCTTCAGAGAGACTGTTACTTTTTTATTTTTTTTTTTAAATTGGTTGTGGGGCTTGAACTCTGGGTCTGGGCACTGTCCCTTCGTTCTTCAGCTCAAGGCCAGTACTTTACCATTTGAGCCATAGCACCACTTTCAGTTTTCTGGTAGTTTATTGGAGATAAGCCCAGGTTGGCTTTGAACCCTGATCCTCAGATCTCAGCCTCCTGAGTAGCTGGATTACAGGCATGAGCCACTGGCACCAGGCTCAGAGATAGAGTCAGACCTGAGGGAGTTGTCTTCTGGCAAAGGCTCCAGAACCTTTAGTATTGCCTTGAACTCAAGGCTTTGTGTTCTCTCTTGGCCACACTTCCACTTCTGTCTCTTTCTTTCTTTCTTTTTGCTGATTAATTGGAGATAAGGATTTCAAGGAGTTTTCTGCTAAGGCTGGCTTCCAACCATAATTCTCAGTCTTATTCTCCTGAGTAGCTAGGATTACAAGCATGAGCCGCCAGTGCCCAGGTCTCTAGAGCCTTTAGACCCGGAGTATTCTAGCTCTTCCTGTGGTTTTTACTTAGAAATGAAGATATGCAGCTTGTAGAGGGCAAGAGGTGCAAGGCGTGCAATGCAGGGCACTCCTGCCCCCCAAATTGATTTCTTTCTCAGCACATCATGGTTGGTGTTTTTTGGCGGTAGTGTTAAGGCTCAAACCCAGGCCCTTGCTAAACAAGAACTTTACCACTAAGCTATATCCAGGTGCTTGAACTCAGGGCCTAGGCATTATCTGAGATTTTTTTGCTCAATCCTAATGTTCTATCACTTGAGCCACAACTCCACTTCAGGCTTTTTTGTTAGTTGGAGATAAGAGTCTCATGGACTTTCTTGTTTGGGCTGGCTTTGAACCATGATCCTCTGATCTCAGCCCCCTAAGTAGCTAGGATTACAGACATGAATCACTGATGCCTGTCCGAGTGTTTTATAAAGGAGAACTTGGCCATGTGTAAAGCTTTTGAGTGCAAGAAGGCCTGGAGGGCATTGACTGGGTATGTAGTATAAACCTGGCATTATATATATTTCTTTGCACTCTTCACAACAAATTTGCAAGGTGAGTGGAGGTAACCTGTATTTCTTTTTTTTCTTTTTTCTTTTGTCAGTCATGGGGCTTGAACTGTGGGCCTGGGCCCTGTCCCTCAGCTCTTCAGTTCAAGCTAGCACTCTACCTCTTGAGCCACAGCACCACTTCTAGTTTTCTGGTGTTTTATTGGAGATAAGAGTCTCATGGACTTTCTTGCCTGTGCTGGCTTTGAATGTGATTCTTAGATCTCAGCCTCCTGAGTAGCTAGGATTACAGGCATGAGCTACCGGTGCCCGGCTACCTGTACTTTCTTGATGACAGAATGAACTTAGAACAGTAAGGTCCCTTATCTTGGCACATATAAGCAAGAAAGAGTTGGCTCAGGGTTTTGATTCTTGCCATGTATTATGGCAAGTGAGTATGTGAGTATGTGGGATAGGTTGGCTCTTAAAAGTTTTTTTTTCTTTACAGCCTGGCCAAGCATCGTATTGGGACAAAGAGACACCGGGTTTGTCTCGAAATACCACAGGAGGTGAGTCAGAGCGAACTCTTCCCCAAGGAGGAGTTGAGTTCTGGACAGTATGAGATGACAGAGTGCCAGGCTGCCCTCGCCCCAGTGAGGCCCACCCACAGCTCTGTGCGACAAGTGGAAGACAGCTTGCCCTTCCCAGGTGAGTTATGATGCTTTTTCCACACTCCTGTCTGTTCCATGTTCAAGACCATATTAAATGCTCCATCAAAAATAATAGGAGTGGGGAGCTGGGAAGGTGGCTCAATGGTAGAGTGCTTGTCTCGCCTATGTGAGGCCCTGGATTCAATTCCTCAGCACCACAAAAGCAGAAAAAGCCGCAAGTGGTGCCGAGGTTTTAGCAATAGAGCACTTAGCCTTGAGCTGAAGAGCTGAGGGACAGCATCCAGGCCCAGAGTTCAGGCCTTACAACCAACCCCCTCCCCCCCAAAAAAATAATAATAGGAGGGGGCCAGGAAGGTGGCTTAATGGTAGAGTGCTTGCCTAGCATGCATGATGCCCTGGGTTCAATTCCTCAATACCACATACACAGAAAAAGTTGGAAATAGCTCTGTGGCTCAAGTGGTAGAGTGCTAGCTTTGAGCAAAAGAAGCTCAGGGATAGTGCCCAGCCCCTGAATTCAAGCCCCAGGACTAGCAAAAAAAAAAATAGGAGGAACCAGGTTTGGGAGCAGACCTATGATTGGTATGTGAGAAGTATGTAGGGCAGACTGGGCACAGAGGGAAAGCTCATCCTGCTGCCTGGCAAGGAGTGAGGGGAAAATGGAAGACTTTGGTATAGGTGCCTTAGGAGATAAGGTAGCCCATGAGAGAGCACACAAGATGTAGCACACAAGAGAGGAGGAGCCTGGCAAATGCCTGGTGATGGGAAGCAGCGTGATGACCTCCAGGTGAGCTGGTGGTGATGTCTGGCAAATTAGATGGGTGACAATTGTGTTTCCAGGAAACAACTCATAAAGAAGAATGAGATAATATGGAACTATCTGCCATCTAATTTTATTTATTAATTTTATTTTCAGATAGGGTTTATTTTCAGACTGTGCCTAGAACTCACTATTATAGCCCAGGTTGGCTGTCATCTTTTATTTTTCCTTTTATTCATTTATTTTTGCCTGTTCTGGGGCTTTACCTCAGGGCTTGGGTGCTATCCCTGAGGTTTTTTTGTTCAAGGCTATAGTGCTCTACCACTTGAGACACAGCTCCACTTCTGATTTTTTTTGGTTGTTGTTGTTTATTTGTTTAATTGTTAATTGGAGATTAGAGTCTCATGGACTTTTCTTGCCTGGGCTGGCTTCAAACTGTGATCCTCAGATCTCAGCCTCCTGAGTAGCTAGAATTACAGGCGTGAACTACCAGCACCCAGCTTTTTCTTTTGAACCTTCAAACAGTTTCTGTAGCCCAAGCTGGCTGTGAACTTGTCTTTCCTTGGCCTCCACTTCAAGTGCAAGGATTATAAGTTTGTGCCACCACATCTCCCTTATTTTTGCTTTTTTTGGTCAGTCATGTGGCTGAACTCTGGGCTTGGGCGCTGTCCCTCAGCTCTTCAGCTCAAGGCTAGCACTCTATTGCTTGAGCCACAGCGCCACTTCCAGTTTTCTAGTGGTTTATTGGAGATAAGAGTCTCATGGACTTTCTTGCCCCAGGCTGGCTTTGAACCTTGATCCTCAGATCTCAGCCTCCTGAGTAGCTAGGATTACAGGCCTGAGCCCCGGGCGCCCAGCTCCTTACTTTTGCTTTGTAATTGGTACATAATATTACATGTTTTGGGGTACAGTGTGATAATTTGATGTGTGTACATCATGTACAACAATCAAGTTGAAGAAGTGCCTATCATTTTAGGATTTGTTCACTTAGAGTCTGGGGGAGCCATGTGTTTGTGTTTAGGAGTGACTTGTCTTAGTTTTGGTCAGGTTGAAGAAATTTGTTTACCATACTGTGGTATGTCTGTTGGCAGACTCATGGATTCAGATCCTGGGGCTGAGTTGACTTCTCAGCAGATTTTCTAGCTTGGAGTAATCGGGGCTACTGAGTGCAAGCTTGCATTTTCTGCAAGACTTGCAAGGAAGAGGCAGCTGCCATTTGCTTAATAGCTTGCTGATGTGGTTTTGTACCACCTTATATCTAGGAATTAGATTTTGGAGCCCTGAAAATAAGTGGTAGCATCCTCATCTGACAAATAGAGGAAGAAACTGGAGGCCTGGGCAGATACTTCTATCACACAATGGCCTCATCAGTGACAGAGCCTGGGTTTGAAATCAAGTCCCACTTACACTTATGTGCTTCATGCTTTCCCACTCTGCCCTCATGAAGTGCACACGCACAGGAGGAACTTGGCTCTGTCTAATGCAAATACATTGGTGTTTTAGATTACTCTGACTCGACTGAAGTCAAATTTGAAGAGCTCAAAAACGTCAAACTAGAAGAGGAAGATGAGGAAGAAGAACAAGAGGCAGCTGCCCTGGATCTTTCTGTGAATCCTGCTTCCATAGGAGGACGTCTTGTCTTCTCCAGTTCCAAAAAGAAATTTTCTTCTAGCATGGGATCCAGTTCTTCTCGAGATTCTGCCTCTTCTGATTCGGAAACCAGCGATCCTCTTTCCTGCCAAGCTCAGGGGCAAACAGGAGTTTTCACCGTGCACAGCTACGCCAAAGGGGATGGCAAAGTGACTATGGGAGAGCCATGCATGAAGAAGAAAGCTGGTGCCCCCAGAAGTATCAGTGAACAGGAGCTGGCCACGGTATGGGCGGGCTCTGGGCAGTGGTATGGAAGGCATCTTGTGAAAGAGGGAGTCCTGTAGAGAAGATATGCTGCAGATTATAGGAGGGCAGGAGAGATATAACCCTCTCTACCCCTCCACTCCTCTCCTGGAGCTCCAGCCTGCATCATTTGATGATTACGATCTTCTAGCTTATTCTTGGCTGGAATTTTCTTTTCTCCTTTCTGTGTATGACTGTGGGTCCAGAGAATTGCATTACAGCAGTACCCTTAGGGACAGCGGCAGATCTTCAGCCCAGTTGGATGCCCACTAGTGTGGGCAGGAACCCTTCCTCCATCCTCCTTGTCTTAGAATTGCAGTGGTTCAGGAGTTCTGGGATGGCCTTTCTTACCCTAAAACCTAAGGGTATTCTTAGAAACCTTAACTGTGCTGTGGAGTCCCAGTGGATGGTTAATATAGCCTCCTTTGGAAATCTGATGGATTCCCAAAGCTGTAAATTCAGGCATCCTCCTGGAACACAGCTTCACTAGAAGCTATTTTCTGTTGGTTTTATACAAATTGGATTTTGGTGAGTCTCCCACGGAGAGGAGGGGTGCCAAGAGAGTCCTGTTGGGTATAGCTGTCTCCTTCTCTTCTCTCTGGCCTTATGGCTTCCAGGGGCCTCGTTGCATTATGGGATAACGATGGCACACAGTAAAACCAGTAGAGAGCCCTTGAGATTCTGTTTCCTTATGTTTACTTTTTGAGTTTTTTTTTTTTTTTGGTGGGGGCAGAGGAACTACAGATTGTGCAAGCTAAGCAACACATTCTACACTCACCCTGAACTCTTTCCTGAACTTTTTTTTTTTAAATTTAAATTTTATTGTCAAGGTGTTGTACATAGGGGTTACAGTTACATAAGTAAGGTAGTGAGTACATTTCTTGTTGAACTTGTTGCTTAACTTTTTGAAAATTTTTCTCTTAAAAGTGTGTATGTTAGCCAGGTGCTGGGGGATCATGCCTATAATCCTATGTAGGAAACTGAGATCTGAGGATCGTGGTTCAAATCCCACCCAGGCAGGAAAGTCCATAAGACTCTTATCTCCAGTTAACTACCAGAAAACAGAAGTGGAGTTGTGGTTCAAAGTGGTTGAGTGCTAGCCTTGAGCAGAAAAGCTCAGGAATAGCACCAGGCCCTGAGTTCAAGCCCTACAGCCTACAAAAAAAAACGTGTGTGTGTGTGTGTGTGTGTGTGTGTGTGTGTGTGTGTGTGTGTAAGTGTTTGGCTTATGTTCAGTGTATTGAGGTAATTCTTTGTTTTTTTGTTGTTGTTGTTTTTTGTTGGTCATGGGGCTTGAACTCTCTGTCCCTCAGCTCTTCAGCTCAAGGCTAGTGCTCTACCATTGGAGCCAAAGAGCCAAAGAGCCACTTCTGGCTTTTTTTGCTTATGTGGTGCTGAGGAATCGAACCCAGGGCCTCATGCATGCAAGGCAAGCACTCTACCACTGAGCCACCTTCCCAGCCCAGTTCTTAGTTTTTTTTTTTAACCACAGCTAATACTCTGCCACTTGAGCCACAGTTCTGTATCTGGCTTTTTTTGTGGTTTATTGGAGATCCCAGTCTCATCATCTTTCTTCCTGCCTTGGCTGCCTTTGAACCGTGATCCTCAAATCTCAGGCTCCCAGGGCTGGGAGAGTGCTTGCCTTGCATGCATGAGGCCCTGGGTTCAATTCCTCAGCACCATATAAGCAGAAAAAGCTGGAAGTGGGGCTGAGGCTCAAGTGGTAGAGTGCTAGTCTACAGCTGAATAGCTGAGGGACAGTGCCCAGGCCCAGAGTTCAGGCCCCACAACCCACCAAAATAAATAAATAAAAATAATTTTAAAAAATATATTTTTGGGTTCGGTAGTGGGGCCTGAACTCTGGGCCTGGGCGCTGTCCCTCAACTCTTCAGCTCAAGGCTAGTGTTCTACCACTTGAGCCACAGCGCCACGTCCGGCTTTTTTCTTTTTGCTTATGTGGTGCTGAGGAATCGAACCCAGGGCCTCATGCATGCAAGGCAAGTGCTCTACCACTGAGCCACCTTCCCAGCCCCAAAAGCCAATAAATTAACAGCCATCTTTTTTCCCCTCTCTGAATTTTGAATCAGTTAAATGATGATACAAGAATCAGACATAAAAGTTTAGGATGTCACATGATAGAACAAAGTAGCCACTACCTTACTCAAACAGGTGACCTACACTGGCTAGTCCCTTGTAGGAGCAGATATTTCCCTTCTAACTTCCATGTGGTAAGAGCAAGTAGACCAGACAGACAGACATGTGCTCTACCACTTGAGCCACAGTACGTACCACTTCTGGCTTTTTTTGGGTAGTGTATTGAAGATAAGAGTTGCATGGAGCTTCCTGCCTGGACTGGCTTTGAACGGCAGTCCTTGGATGTCAGCCTCTTGAGTATCTAGGATTACAGGCAGAAGCCACTGGTACCTGGCTAGAAGTTCTTGTTAGGTGAGGCTGCTTTGAAAATGTGTGGTCCCAAAACAAGTTTGGAGGACAGTTGGTTTTCCCTGCATGGACCAAACTTCAGCATGGACATTGGCCTTGACTCTGGGTGTTGTTTGCTAGGAGAGGGAACAGAGGATTCTGGAACCTTGCATCTCAGTTCTCCTTTAGGCAGGGGCCTGGAACACCACCAGCTGTCAAATCCCATCTGCCCACTGAGCATTGGGGCCAAGCTCATCACCCCTTATTAAGGGTGGTGTTGGTACTTGCCCACATGCCATGCTAGGTGGTTGAACTGGGATTGGAAGCAGCATTTCTTGTAATATACTGAGGGGATTTAGAAATGGAAACACATCCCAGGGAGGGGCAGCACTTGGAGGAGGGTATGGAGGATTTAGATGGAAGATGATAAAGTGTGAAAAGATAGGTATTTGAATAGACCTACCTGTTTTGCTCAGAGGCAGGATGATAGAAGTGGAAAAGAGAGATGCCAGGGACTCCAGGTTTTTTTCTCTGCCTAGTAGTCATATCTCATCCATCTATCTATATAGGACCCCAAGTACCTGGCTACAGATGCTGGGTATATAGGAGGCACTTTGAGTAAATCATAGACAAAGTTATCTTCCTCTTGTGCCCAGACTGCATCTGCTGTTCTTGACCCTTGCCTCCTTAATCTCTCTCCACCTTCCATCCTGTTAGGAGTGTGTGTGTGTGTGTGTGTGTGTGTGTGTGTGTGTGTGTGTGTGTGTGTGTCTGTGTCTGTGTCTGTGTGTCTGTCTGTGTATGTGTCTGTGTGTCTGTGTCTGTGTCTGTGTGTGTCTGTGTCTGTGCACGCGCCCCCCCCCCCCCAAGTCTATCCTAGGACTTGAACTCAGGGCCTGAGTGCTTTTTCACTTAAGGATGGTCAACTCTACCACTGGAGCTGGAGCCACACCTCTAGTTCTAGCTTTTTGCTGCTTTATTGGAGATATGGACTAAAATACCAGGCTAGCTTCCAACTAGGATCTCAAGGTCTCAGTTTCCTAAGTAGCTAGGATCATACGCATGAGCTACCAGCACCTGACTCTGTTTTGTCTGTCTGTCTGTTTGTTTTGTTTTTATTGCTGCTGTATAGCAAGCTACCACAAAATCAGAGGCTTGAAATGACCCAAATTTATTACATTACATTTCAGAAGTCTACAGTGGGTCTTGTTAGAATGACGGTGTGGACAGGGTTGTATCCTTTCCTGTGGGCCCTATGAGCAAAAACATTTGCTTGCCCCCTCCAACTCCTGTCAGCTCTTCTCAATTTCTTAGTCTGTGGCTCTCATCCATCTTCATAGGTCCTGACATTTACCCAAGTCTTTCTCTTGTCACGTCAGGACAGCCTTTTCTCTATCCCTCTCCTGTTATTTAGTGCTGTAACGATTACATTGGGCTCACCAGATAATTCCAGATAATCCCTCTATTTTAAGGTCATCTGATTAACAGCCTAGATTCTCCTATGTCCTATTAACATAATGTACTCACAAGGATTAGGATGTGGACATCTTTTAGGGACTGTCATATCTTAATATCTCCCTTTCCCAAGCTACTTTTCCTCTTTTGGCTGTGAAACCATACTCATAGAGCTTCTATCTGATTGTAGAAGCCACTTTTTACCCAAACTCTGGTTTAATTCCTTCACTCACTCTTCTAGAAAATGGGCTCCTTACCACCTCTCTGGAGGAAATTTTCTCAGAAACAAACACTTCCCAGTTGCCAAATGCTTGGCCACTTTTCTGCTCAGCTCTACCTGTGTCCATTGCTGCTGTGAATATCCCTGTCCTTGACACTGTCCTCCACTTGGCTTTCTTGAATTTCCCTTACTTGTGCACTTTCAAGTCTCCTTTCTTTTCTTTGTCCTCTGTCCCTAGAAAGCCTAGTCTCCAGTCAGTTTATCTTCCATCATTATTCCCAAAATTTTAATTCTGTAGTTTGACTATTTCTTTTTCTTTCTTTTCTTTTTTTTTTTTTTTTTTTTTTTGCTGTTTCTGGAACTTGAACTCTAGGCCTGTACACTATTCCTGAGCTGCTTCCTCTCAAGGGTAGCACTCTACCACTTGAGCCACAGCTCCACTTCCAGCTTTTTCTTTGATTAAATGGGAATAACAACCTCATGAACTTTCTGCCCAGGCTGACTTTGAACCATGATCCTTAGATTTCAGCCTTCTGAGTAGCTAGGATTACAGGCATGAGCATCAAACAGCTTTTTCTTTTGAGACAGGCTCTCTATTTTGTCAGGCTAGCCTCTTATTATTTTTTTTTTGTTGTTGTTGTTGTTGTTAACTCAGCACTTCATATTTGTTTGACTAGCTTGCTTGGTTGATACCCTATGACTTGAGCCTTGACTCCAGTCTAGGGTCCCTTAACTCATGAACTCTTGATCCCCTTGACTCAGCCTCTCTTGAATAGCTGGGACTACAAATGTGTACCACCTTGCCCAGCCACTACATGAATTCTGAACATGATGCTCAAGATTTCAAATCTGGCTAGGTGTGGTGGCTCATGCCTGTAATCCTAGCTACTCAGGAGGCTGAGATCTGAGGATTGCCATTCAAAGCCAGTCCAGGCAGGAAAGACCCTGAGACTCCTATCTCCAATAAATCACCAGAAAACCAGAAGTGGCGCTGTGGCTCAAGTGGTAGAGCACTCGCCTTGAGCTGAAGAGCTGAGGGAGAGTGCCCAGGCCAGAGTTGAAGCCCCATAACCGCCAAAAAAAAAAAAGATTCTCAAATCTAAATCTCTTACTCCAAAGAACCATTTGGAAAGTAAAATCTAATTCATTTGGAAAAATAGAAATCAAAAGCAAAGCTGTTCTGGTAGAATGGAGATAGAGCTCTGAGCTCTTCATTCTTAGTTCAGTGGAGGTTTTTGTGGGTCTTACTGAATATTTTTTTTTGTTCCTGTTTTTTGCTTTGTTTGTTTGTTTTTGTGGTGTTGAGGATTGAATGAACCTGGAGCTTTCCACATGCTAGGCAAGTACTTTGACTCTAAGCTACATCTATGTCCACCAACAGGCATTTTGAAAATCACTGCTTCAGACAAATCCAAACAGTGAGTTGAGTGCAGGGAGGCTGTGATTTGTAGTCTTCCTGGACCACAGCAGTAACAAGTCCCAGCCTCTTCACCTTACTCCTGTACACCACTACACAACACTTGTATGAGCCAAGATTGCATCCTGTCACAGTCCACTGGTTCACATTTACTTTCCTAGACAGGTCTTGGCACTGTGGTGCTCAGTGGACATTTGTTGATGAATGGGCACATAAACTCTGAATCCTGTTGGTAATATTTATGTTTTAGAGGGACAGGCTCTATTTTTCTTGAACATGGTCTGCACAGAATTTGTTTTGTCTTAGGATCCCAAATCCAGTTCTCTAGTGGCTCCTCATGTCTGTGGACTCAGGGCACCTTTGCAGAGGTGGCCGTGAAGTGCCACCACTTCTCGGCAGACCCTACGACATTTGTTTTTGTCATTGCAAAGTGGCTCTTTTGCAGGCCTCATTTCCTTGCTTAATGGCTTTTGCCAGCATCTCCTAATGTCAGTATAACTAAGTTTTAAGTAAGTTGATTAAAAAGAAACTCCTGCATAGCATTACGGAATGAATCCTAGGCATCCAATTCCTAATTATGTTTGCTCTGGTTTATGTGAAGGTGGTATGAGACCACCTTTCCTTCACAGCTAGGCCAGAGGTTTAGACGCCTTGTCCTGGTCAGTGTTGGGGAAACATCAGCTGAGGAATTAGCAATGTCAGGAGCTCAGGTCTCTCCATAGAGTGCTTTCCTTGTATTGGCTCAGGTGACCTGTATCCCTTTGGATTCCTCTAGGCTTTCAATCTGGACTGCCCTGGTGCCCGGCACATTATATAAGTTGTTCCTGACCTCATGGTCCAAGGAAAGGGGCACCTGGACTTTTCTAAGCTCACAAAGTTGCCTCATGGCAATGAGTTTAAGGGGTAGGGCATCTGGCTCTCCTTTAGAGTGGGATTAGGTTTGCTTTTGGTATGTTTGTTTCAGGCTGCTCCAGGAAGGCCAGAAACCACACGTAAGGCATAGATTTTACCCTAAAATTCTAAAATAAGGGCTGGAAATGTTGCTTAGTGGTAGAGTGCTTGCCTAGCATGTATGAAGCCCTGGATTTGATTCCTCAGTACCACATAAACAGAAAAAGCGAGCCGGGCGCTGGTGGCTCACGCCTGTAATCCTAGCTACTCAGGAGGCTGAGATCTGAGGATCTTGGTTCAAAGCCAGCCCGGGCAGGAAAGACTGTGAGACTCCTATCTCTAATAAACCACCAGAAAACCGGAAGTGGCGCTGTAGCTCAAGTGGTAGAGTGCTCGCCTTGAGCTGAAGTGCTGAGGGACAGCGCCCAGGCCCAGAGTTCAAGCCCCACGACCGACCAAAAAAAAAACAAACAGAAAAAGCATGAAGTGGCACTGTGGCTCAGGTGGTACAGTGCTAGCCTTGAACACAAAGAGGCTCAGAGACAGAACCCTTGCCCTGAGTTCAAGCCCAGGACTGGAACCCCCCCCCCAAAAAAAAATCTAAAATAAGCCAGATGATTAAGTTTTATTTTTGTTTGTTATTTTCCATGTCCTTTTCTTCTTTCCTCTCTCCCTGTCTCCTGGAGTGGCCTCAAAGTCAGGATCTTCCCAATCTGGACAAAGTATAGAGCGCCTTCCCAGCACAAAGGCCTTGAGTTCAGTCCCAGTAGTAAAATTCAGTCACTCAAACAAGCTAGACAGACGCCTCACTTGTAATCCTAGCAATTAATTGAAATAAAATAAAACAAAATAAAATAGATCCCTTAGCTCAGTCTCCTGAGTGCTAGAATTATAAGCTACAACCATGCCTGGCCTCCTACGTTGAAAGAAGGCCAGTTTGACTTCCTTTACTTTTCTCAGGTTGCTGATCGGTACATGTTTTCTCTGGAGGAGACTAAGAAGTCCAAGGGTCGCCGCCAGCCCTTAAGCAAGCTCCCACGCCATCACCCACTTGTGTTGCAGGAGTGTGTCAGTGATGATGGTAAGCCTGGCCCCCCCTGCTCAGTAGGAGGAATGCTGCCCACTGCACTGCGGCTTGCTCTGAATGGACATCTGAAGACTGGGGGGAATGGTGGGTCTGGGGCTGAGCTGCTCTCTCAGATAATTCTGTACAGAGGATAGCTTTTACTAATTAGATTTCATTATCAGCTGGAGATGGTATGTGCCTTATACGGGATAATTGCATGCAGGTTCTTTCCTTTCTTCTCCTAGGAGGTACAAGGCTGAGTTTTCAGGATAGCAAATTCTGTCACTGATGCCAAGCCCTGTGCTGGATGTGTGGATACAAAGCTAACTAAGCTATGTCCGTGCCCTCAAGACGCTCACAGGGTAGTGGGGCAAACTGACAGGTAAACAGATCTACAGAAAGGATGCCTATCCAGGAAGAGCGGACAGCATGAGCCACCATGGAGAAAAGAATAAGAGCATATATGCAGAGGAAGGGTTATTAGATCAGTGTAGCTGAAGACATAGGCAAGGGTAGAGAGTGAGTGCTAGGATAGGAGGACAAAGGCTAGGTCAAGGACAGTGTTGTTTCTCACAGGCATTCAGGAGCCATTGAAATGTTTGAGCCAGAAGAAAGACAGGATCAGATTACCATTATAAAGACTGTTCCTAGAAGCCAGGCACCAGTGGCTCAGGACGCTGGTTCAAAGCCAGCCCAGGCAGGAAAGTCCGTGAGACTCTCATCTCCAATAAACCACTAGAAAACCGAAAGTGGCGAGGTGGCTCAAGTGGTAGAGCGTTTGCCTTGAGCTGAAGAGCGTAGGGACAGCGCCCAGGCCCAGAGTTCAAGCCCCACGACAAAAGGAAAAAAAAAAAAAGTCTGTTCCTTGCTTGGTGCTGGTGGCTCATGCTTATAATCAAAGCTAGTCAGGAGGCTGAGATCTGAGAATCACAGTTAAAACTTAGCCCTGGATGACAAATCTGAGACTTTTATCTTCAATTAAACAGCAAAAAGCTGGAAGTGAGGTATTAGCTCAGGTAGTAGAGTGCCAGCTTTGAGGGGAGAAAGATAAGCAAAAGTGCAAAGCTCTTGAGTTCAAACCTCACTACCAGCACAAGAAAAAAGAAAAGAAAGATTGCTCCTAGTGATTGTGGCTTGAGGATGGCTTTAAGAGGCCCAGGTGGGCATTTGGAATGGTGCTAGATTGGTGGTAGGAGGGCTGGGAGAAGGGAAGGTAGTGAAGACACTGTTGGCTGGGTTTAGTGACTGGCTCTGCAGCTGAGAGTATTCTGTGAGGGAGAAAGGTGAGTTGATGAGCTCCCTCCCTCCTTCGTTTGTACCTTTGGTTGGCTTCTGGAAGCCTGAGTTCAGTTTGTCTGTGGAGGATGAGACTTGAGGGAAGTGCAGAGTTATAGCTTATCTTCATTTTAGAATAAGGGAAGTCACTTGTGAACAAGGCAGAAATGGAGATGGCTAAGCAGGAGTTGGACAGAGGAAGGAGGGGATTCTGAAGGAGAGAGACATGAGCAAGGAAGGTCAGGAAGTGTGGCACTGATACTTAGGGGAGTGTAGATTCTGGGATCCAGAAAGATGAGCCTTGGCACAGATGTTAGTGACCAGCCCCCACTCTCACAAGAACAGAGACATTTGCATTCTTCACTAGTGCTGGTCTGCTCCCTATCCTGTTTATCCTTTCCTTATCTGATGTCAGAGCTCCATCTCTGCAGGTTTCTGTAGTAGAAACCGAGAACTAACATGAGAACTGGGTAGGGAAGCAGACATGGAGGTCCTGAAGTCGGTGAGAGTGTCCAGACCAGGTCCTAGGAGTCATGCGTCTGTATTCTAGCCCACCCAGGAGTTTCAGCCTAATTCCATGATTTCTCCCTCAAATCTATGTTACATGAAAGTAACATAGATTGTAGAAAACTGGAAAAGCAAAACAGGTTATGAACAGGTTATTAAAGGAAAAGATTGGCCGTATGCCTACTCCTTAAAAATAACACTGAACGTTTTATGCAATCTTTCTTTTCCTAGACAAACATAAATTATGTCCAGGTATTTTTTTAATAACATAACTGAAAACAAAATATAACATAATATGACTTCTCAGGAAATGTTTCACTGTGGCAAATTAAAAGAATGTAGACATTATGTGTTTAATAGTTATTACTGGAACATGTCACTATAAATCCATCTTTCTCTCATTGGCTTTTTTTTTGCCAGTCCTGGGGCTTGCTTCAGGTCACATGATCACCAATTGGCATCTCCCAAGGAGGAAGTCCCCTAAGTATACACTAGGCTGTAACCTTGTTACCACATAAGTAGTATCTCCTAATGTCCTCCTCTGGTCTACATCTGTCTTTTACTGCTCATCCTAGAATGTGTTTTTTTTTTTTTTTTTTTTGTCGGCCGTGGGGCTTGAACTCTGGTCCTGGGCGCTGTCCTTCAGCTCTTCAGCTCAAGGCCAGCGCTCTACCACTTGAGCTACAGCGCCACTTCCGGTTTTCTGGTGGTTTATTGGAGATAGGAGTCTCACGGTCTCTCCTGCCCTGGCTGGCTTTGAACCGCGATCCTCAGATCTCAGCCTCCTGAGTAGCTAGGATTACAGGCGTGAGCCACCAGCGCCCGGCCCTAGAATGTGTTTAATAGCTTTTCAAACTTGTCCTTTAAATTAATATAACTAAAGAAGGGTCACATTGTTTTTGGAAGTTAGCCTTCCTTCCTTCCTTCCTTCCTTCCTCCCTCCCTCCCTCCCTCCTTCCCTCCCTCCCTCCCTCCCTCCCTCCCTTCCTTCCTTCCTTCCTTCCTTCCTTCCTCAGTCATGGGCCTGAACTCTGGGCCTGGGTGCTGTCCCTCAGCTCTTTAGTTCAAGGCTAGTGTTCTACCACTTGGGCTACAGCGCCATTTCCGGTTTTCTGGTGGTTTATTGGAGATAAGAGTCTCACTGACTTTCCTGCCTGGGCTGGCTTTGAACTGTGATCCTCAGATCTCAGCATCCTGAGTAGCTAGGATTACAGGTGTGAGCCTCCGCCACCCAGCCCTCTTTAGTTTCTTTTACTGTAAGATAACACTTCCCCATTTCCCCCTCCCCTCTCCCTTTCCCACGTCCCAGGCTGCCCTTGAATTCACCACCCATCTGTCTCAGCCTACTGAGTGCTAGAATTGCAGGTGAGTGCCATCTATTGGGTCTGGCTTCCCCCACTTCTTTGGTTGTTCTACCACTTGAGCCACAGTGCTACTTCCAGTTTTTGAGTGGTTAATTGGAGATAAGAGTCTTACAGGGGGGCTGGAAAGGTAGCCCAGTGATAGAGTGCTTGCCTTGCATGCATGAGGCCCTCAGCTCGATTCCTCAGCACCACATAAGCAGAAAAAGCCGGAAGTGGCGCTGTGGCTCAAGTGGTAGAGCGCTAGCCTTGAGCTGAAGAGCTGAGGGACAGCGCCCAGACCCAGAGTTCAGGCCCCACAACCAGCAAAAAAAAAAAAAAAAAACCTCACAGGGACTTTTCTGCCCTGGCTGGCTTTGAACCATGACATTCAAATCTCAGCCTCCTGAGTAGCTAGGATTACAGTCATGAGCCACTAGTACCTGGCTCTACCACTTTTTTTTTTTTTGTCGGTCGTGGGGCTTGAACTCTGGGCCTAGCACTCTACCACTTGAGCCACAGCGCCACTTCCTCTACCACTTGTTAAAAACGCATTTTTTTTCATTTGAGGCATAACATTTTTAGTGAAATGCACACATCTTGACTCTAAGGCTCTGTGAAGCTTTACATATGTAAACTGTTAAAATTTCAGCTCCTGTAATTTTTACTTAACAATCTGAACATTTCCCCTCGTCTTTCAGTATTCACATATGGAATGGTTTGGGCCACTTTTGACTTTGCAAGTGGAACAGATGTCAGTGTGCTAAATTTTTAGTTGTCACTGTGAGCCTGTCTCTCTGTTTCTTCTATCCTATCTTGCTCCCTCTTGTTTGGGCCAGGCCTTGTGACTGAACCTGAACAATGGGGCTTTTAGGGGCTGGTTTTAGTTGTCTGCACTGGCCTCCTTACGCTACAGTGGCCTTCCCTGAAGCTGCACACAAAAGCTGCCAGGTCCCTTTAGAGTCAATATGACTGAGAAGGCGAAGTAGAAAGCCATTTATCTGTGTTGGCCCTACAGTCATCAGAAGTGAACAAATGGGTACCTAGTGCAAGAGCCTGTCCTGGGCTGCTTTTGTGGGATGTCAGGGGCCCTTTGGGAAGTACTTTTGTCCAAGGAGCCAGCTCACCGGAGAAGTTGTAGCTGGGGGTTGTTCGTGTCTGCACAGTGTTGCGTGAAGATTCCCCCAGTGTTCCCTCAGATGCCTCGTGGGGCAGGGCCAGTCTGCTGTCAGTCTCCACATACGTGGGCTCGGTTTGACTACACTTGGCAAGGAAGACTGTGGCAGATGTAGCTCCTCTTCCCCTTGTATCACAACAGCAGTCTATTTTGGTATCTCCGTCTGCTTGTATCCCTCCCTCCCTTGTTCTAGGTCTTTGGAACTATTATGGGTCTCCCGTAATCCTCGATCTTCTGTGCACTGGATGGGCTGTGCACCTTTATCTCTTTTGTCTTGTTTTGTGAGCAATCTTCTGATTTCCATTCTGTAGTGAGATCCATTCTTCTGGGCAGATGGACCAGGAGGGGAGTTGCCCTGTGCAGAGTGGCAAGGACTGATGAGTTGTGAGTCCAGATAACTAGAGAATATGAGAGGCCAGGATTTGTGTTGACCAGGGCACCGTGAAGGGCAAACAAGTTGGTAGTTTAAGCTTAGCAGACTTATTTGTCTCTAGGATCCTCATGGACTTTTCTCTATTTCCCCTGGGGGTAGTGGACAGAACTGCTATTACATGTCTACAGACATGACATTACATTTTTAATATAAATTTTTATTATTATAAAGGTAATGTACAGAGGGGTTATAGTTACATAAATCAGGTAATGAGTACATTTTTTTTGTTGTTGTTGTTTTTTGTTTTTTGGGTCCAGTTGTGGGGCCTGAAATCTGGGCCTAGGCACTGTCCCTCAGCTCTTCAGCTCAAGGCTAGCGCTCTACCACTTGAACAACAACAGCGCTACTTCCGGCTTTTTTTTTCTGTTTATGTGGTACTGAGGAATCGAACCCAGGGCCTCATGCATGCAAGGCAAGCGCTCTATCACTGAGCTACCTTCCCAGCCCCAATGAGTACATTTTTTGGACAATGTTACCCCCTTCCCTCGCTTTCTTAATTTTTCTCTTCCATACCCACCTACACATTGTATGGTTTATTTTCCACATGCTGTCTAGTGAGTACCCCCGCTGCATTTGTTCACACTTTGTCGCTCCATGTTTATGCCCCACTCTCTTATCTTTCCAAAGACAAGACAAAAGGAAAACAAAAATGACAACAAAGAAAAAAACCTCGTTTCCATTTCCTGGAGTTCATCTCAGTAAATATTTTATGGTCAGAGGCACATAGGCATTGTGCCTTTGTGTTCCTCCCCTAAGAGTACCCTCTTTTGGTCTCACTGTGTGTGAATGCCTATATAATTTATCATGCATGAAATTACATTTTATGACTAGGAAGAGGATTCATCTTGAACACATGACTCTGCCCTTCTCTGAGGCAGAGCCAGGAGGAATTGAGGAGCTCTACCCAAAGCAGTTAGCTGGCCCCTGGACTTTCTAGAAGGACCTAGAAAGTCTTGTCCAAGGACCATGATATAACAACCTGAATCTTTGCCAATTCCCTATTAATTTCTTTTCCTTTTCTCTCCAGCTCAGCTAAAGGGGAAACTTTAAAAGGGGACAGACTTACTTAACATGTTGGCATTCTGGAGGCAGCAAATCACAGTTTCTGGCATGACAGTGTTTAACTGTTCTGCCCTTGGAGAGAGCAAAGGGTTGAATATGACAGCTGTTAAGTGGACCAAAGTGGGCCCAGCTCTTGGGCAAGAGGAAGAGTAGAGATCACAAGACAATCTGACTGGATGAAGGTAAAGGCAGGGCTCCCCATACCTTCAATATAGGCATCGAAGGAGTCTGTTGGCAATAACTGCTGTTCTTGGCCCTTATTACCCTTAGGAATCTTGAGTCCAAAGTTGAAACCAGCAATCCTGGCATAGCCTGCCATGTGCCTGGCTGGGACTGACACCTACTCTGTTACCTCTTCTAGAGACCTCTGAACAGCTGACCCCTGAAGAGGAAGCTGATGAGACAGAGGCCTGGGCCAAGCCCCTAAGTCAGCTGTGGCAGAACCGACCTCCAAACTTTGAAGCTGAGAAGGAATTCAACGAGTTCATGGCCCAGCAGGCTCCACACTGTGCCGTCTGCATGATCTTCCAAACTTACCATCAGGTTGGCTGCACCTTCTACTTGGTGTCCTCATGTAGAATCAGCAATCAGAGGAAGCTAGGTTTATTTGTTTGCTCATAGCTTGCCCCTGACTCTCTTGAGGGAGTCTTCTTTTCCCTGGTATCTCTATCCTCTCTGGACCTTGGCTATCCTTTGACAGGCCATCACCTTAGATTTTTACTTGAACGAGTTTGGAGCTAGTGTAGCTCAGGCTCCCCTTGCACTGCATTGAGCTCATCAGACGTTGCTGTTTGCAGAGCACTTCACTTTTCAGTTATCATCCTAGTCCAGCTGTCTGTCCATGACGTTGCTGATTGTCTGCAGTCCTGGCCAGTCAGGGAATCAGACTGGAATTTCCTTACCACAGTAGTCTTGAGCTTCAAGGGATCAGGTCCTCTTGTGTTGTCGCCCTCTTTACTTTCTCCCATTGTTGTGGTGAGGATGGACCAGAAGGAACTAGGGCAGAGTAGAAGCGAGGGGTGTGATAGAAGAAGAGTAGGAAGCATGAATGCTGGGGTCAGCTCTGCCCTTTCTATATGCCAGAACATTGATGGCTGCACCATCACAGATCCCTTTGGGTCCAGCTCTCTGGAGGCCAAGAAGGCATTCACAAAGCAGTAGGTGCCAGGTGATAAATGCAGGCTCAGCCAGGACCTGCATAAGGTGGCAGGCAGCTAAGCAGCCCTGTGGTAGCATGGAGGGGCTCCAGCTGAAGGATGGAACTGTAGACCAACTGTAGACCAATTTTACTTTCCATGGACAGAAAACATAGCCAAAGGACTGTGTGTTCCATTGCTTCTAAGGGAAGCAACTGGCCTGGTTCTTTTTTTTTTTGGGTCCGGTTGTGGGCCTGAACTCTGGGCCTGGGCGCTGTCCCTCAGTTCTTCAGCTCAAGGCAAGCACTCTACCACTTGAGCCACAGCACCACTTCCAGCTTTTTTCTTTTTGCTTATGTGGTGCTGAGGAATCGAACCCAGGGGCTCATGTATGCAAGGCAAGCACTCTACCACTGAGCCACCTTCCCAGCCCCATGGCCTGGTTCTTTTCATCAGCAGCTCTACTAAGTCAGCACCAGAGTTTCATCAATGGCATAGGCCCAGAGGTTGATGTGTTTCTGGGCTCTGTTCTTGGAACAAGGATAATGGTGCCATCCAGCGGCAGAGCCAGCAGATATTTGCAGGCAGTGTCACTTTGCCAATGGAAGTGTATGTGGACATAATGTTCTTCCATCGAGGGGCCCTGGGCCAGGAAGCACAGGTGGGGCTCCAGCCATGTGGTAGAGCTACAGCTCAGGTGACCTGCTGACATGAACTGGCAGAAGCAATCAGTGCTGGTCCATTAGGGGCATCTGCTCCGGGTGCTATCTCTGAATGGGGCCACTGTGTGATACAGCACCAGGGGGAACCCTCAGTAGCAGCCTTGCTGCTAACATCTCAGTGCATTTTATTGTCACTTGGTTTGAGAAGATTGAAATCCCAGTTGCCTCTTACCTCTCTCCCTCTTCTCAGTTGTCCCCTAGAGGCCTTTGTTTGATGCTGCAGTGAGAAATTGAATTTGAGTCATTAGAGGTAACTTCAATTAGTAGCTCTGGGATAATGGCTGGGCACCCGGGAGCTATAGTCGTAGTCACATGAGTGAGAGAGCCAGCTTTCTGCTGATGGAGCAGGTGGAGAGCTGAGAGCAGGGATGTGTGTTCACTGTGCTGTGTGTTCTTCTCTCCCCTCAGGTCGAGTTTGGAGGCCTGAGCCAGAACTGTGGAAATGCTTCCACATCCGCTGCCCAAACACAAAGGACCAAGCCATTGATTCCAGAAATGTGCTTCACCACAACCGGCTGCAGCACAGACATCAACCTTTCTACTCCTTACCTGGAGGAAGATGGCACCAGCATGCTTGTCTCCTGCAAGAAGTGCAGTGTCCGGGTCCACGCCAGTGAGTTTCTCTCACTCTTCTCTCCTGTACCTGGAGCATGAACCTGCTCATAGGAGGTGTTTACTATCTGCTGGCCTCCTTCCTCCCCCAATACAAAGGCTGCTTACGTGGTATTAGAGTGCTGATGGATAGCTTTCCTGTGATGCTAAACATCTGTACTCGAGCCAGTTAACTCTGCTGTCCTCTTAGTTGTTGCTACTAGGCATTTGTACCTGTGAATCCACAATTTTGGGCTTTGAGTCCTGCTGACACTGATCTAGGATTCTGGGGTTTCTATAAGATTTGATATTTTTTTTAAAAATTTTATTTTATTTTAATTGAGAACATACTGTACAGAGGGGTTACAATTACATGGGCAGGAAAATGCATACATTTCTTACCAAGCATTAAGATTTGATATTTTGGGGAGGTGGTTTATAGAAAATAATTGCAGCTGGGCGCCAGTAGCTCCTATCTGTAATCCTAGCTACTCTGGAGGCTAAGATCTGAGGATCTCAGTTCAAAGCCAGCCCGGGCAGGAAAGTCCATGAGACTTTTATTTCCAATTAACCATCAGAAAATTGGAAGTGGAGTTGTGGCTCAAAGTGGTAGAGCTAGCCTCGAGCAAAAAGAGCTCAGGGAGAGCGCCCAGGTCCTGAGTCCAAGCCCTATCACCACCACCAACAACAACAACAAAAATTACAAATCCATTTGGACTCTAGCCTTCAGGTTTAATTTGTTCTATTTGGTGTTCTTATCAGGTTGCTATGGGGTTCCCCCTACAAAGGCTTCTGAAGAGTGGATGTGTTCCCGGTGTTCAGCCAATGCCCTGGAAGAAGTGAGTACTTCCACACTCTTCCTATCTTACTATTGGGACAAGTTCAGGGCCAGCCTTTTTCATGCTGGACTTACTTCCTCAGCAGTTTTCTAGGACCTAGTACTCCATGATGTCAGAGTGCATTGTGGGAATAAGCCCTGTGACCTTAGATGTATGCTAACCACTTGCAGCAGGGCATGAAGTGATCTAGAAGCTGGGTTCTAATTTCCTTTCACTGTCCTCTTCCTCCTATTCTTCCTCCATTTCCTCTTCCTCTCCTCTATTCTTTCTCTTCTTGCTCCTTCTTGACAGAACCAAGTGGAAGTTCTCCTGTTAACAATCCCGAAACTCCCTTGTTCACCCTTGCTCCTGGCATCACCTGTGCCGGGAGCAGTTAGCCCTGCAGCCTTCAGCTCATAGAGCCGCTCTCAGGACTTTACTCACAGTTGTTAGGTATTCACAGCTTGTTAGGAACAGTGTTAAGTCAAGTGATGCTTGATGCACTTTGTTCCTGAATGGCTTCTCTGTCTCTTGCCTCTTACACACTACTGCCTTGGTTGAGGTTAGGGTTGCCCACAGGAAGTCATGAGGAGAGCAGATGGGATATTAATGACTTGGTGGTAACCCCTTTCCTCCCACTCTCTTCTGGGCAGGACTGCTGTTTATGCTCATTACGAGGAGGGGCCCTGCAGAGAGCAAATGATGACAGGTAAGTTTTCTGAGCAGTCTGATATCCAGGCTCAGTTCTGAAGTAGCATGCAGAAGTTCCTAGGGTTATGGGTGCTTGAGTGACTGAAGAGTTGAGCAACACAAGATGTGGAGACTTTTTTTTTGGTGCTGGTCCTGGGGCTTGAATTCAGGGCCTGGGCACTGTCCCTGAGCTTCTTTGGCTCAAGGCTAGCACTCTACCACGTGAGCCATAGTGCCACTTCCAGCCTTTTCTGAGTAGTTTATTGGAAATAAGAGTTTCCTGGACTTTCCTGCCTGACCTGGCTTCAAATTATGACCCTCAGATCTCAGCCTCCTGAGTAGCTAGGATTGGAGACATGAGCCACCAGCACCCTGTTGGAGACTCATTTTTAGCAGTGGGTGGCCTAGGGAGACAAGAAATCCTAGGCTCATTTGAGACAGACATGTGAGTAACATTCTCCTTTTGAGGGGCTCAGAATGGACTCAGGAGAGAATGAAAACCCTATAAAGTGGCGCTATATAGTAGTGAGGACATTGACCCTGTCAGGGCTGGGAACAGTGTGCACAAGTGGCCACTGCTATGGGCTAGGAAGTAACCCTGCCCTGGTCCAGTCCTGCTATTTGGAGAGGGTACAGGTCCTCAAAGGGAACACTGGGATATTAAAGAGAGCTCAGTCAAGCCACCCACTCTTCCCTAAGTGCGTCAGGCAGCTCCTTTTCTTAGAACCACATTCTGCCATCTTAGTTTTTCTCATCTTTGTGTATGTCAGTCCAGAACTTGGCTTAATCTTCTCTTAGTGTCCACTAGGCAGAGAAAGAAGGACTTGGTTGAGACTTTAAAGATAAAGGGAACAAGCCAGGTGCCAGTGGCTCATGCCCATAATCCTAGCTACTCAGGAGGCTAAGATCTCAGAATCACGGTACAAAACCAGCCTGGGCAGGAAACTCCATGAGACTCTTATCTCCAATTAACCACCAGAAAACCAGAAGTGGTACTGTGGCTCCAGTGGTAGAGTGCTCACCTTGAGCTGAAGAGCTGAAGGACAGCACCCAGGCCCAGAGTTCAAGCCCCACAACCAACCAAAAAAAAAAAAAAGATAAAGGGAGGTCATTCCAGCCCAGAGAAGAGGTTGTGGTAGAGCCTAGCAAATGATTATTGGTAGATTGAGGAGTGGGTGTGTGTGTGTGTGTGTGTGTGTGTGTGTGTGTGTGTGTGTGTGTGTGTGTGTGTGTGTGTGTGTGTGTGTGTGTGTGTGTGTGTGTGTGTGTGGTTGTGGTAGAGCCTAGCAAATGATTATTGGTAGATTGAGGAGTGGGGTGTGTGTGTGTGTGTGTGTGTGTGTGTGTGTGGTTGTGGTAGAGCCTAGCAAATGATTATTGGTAGATTGAGGAGTGGGGTGTGTGTGTGTGTGTGTGTGTGTGTGTGTGTGTGTGTGTGTGTGTGTGGTTGTGGTAGAGCCTAGCAAATGAACCCTGAGGTCACCCGGGCCTTTCCCTTTTGGCAGGTGGGTCCACGTTTCATGTGCCGTGGCAATTCTGGAAGCAAGGTTTGTCAACATTGCTGAAAGAAGTCCTGTGGATGTGAGCAAAATCCCCCTACCTCGCTTCAAACTGGTAAGGAAGAAATGGGCATGTAGACAGTACATCATTACATTACTGACAAGTCTGGGCAGAAGACAGCAGTGTATTTCTGCTTGGCCCAGTGGCTACCCTTATGTCTTGCTACTGTCAATGATACCTACTCACGGTAAAAGTACTGGTGGTTAGAGGAGAGATTGGAATAGGTTATGGGCACACCTCATGTTTCGAGTGGAGGGTGGCTCTAGATTGCTTATATCTGTGCTTTGGGATGGGGAGCAAAGCAAGAGGCTCATCTGTCAGTTCCTGGAATCATTGGCTCTCTTCCCCCATATACAGAAATGTGTCTTCTGTAAGAAGCGAAGGAAAAGAAATGCTGGCTGCTGTGTACAATGCTCTCATGGCCGCTGTCCAACTGCTTTCCACGTGAGCTGTGCTCAGGCGGCTGGTGTGATGATGCAGCCTGACGACTGGCCTTTTGTGGTCTTCATTACCTGCTTTCGGCACAAGATTCCCAATTTGGAGGTGAGGGGCGGGGGCACTTCAGTCCTATGCAAAAGCTTCAAGATTATTTTCTCTATGCCCTGCATTTATTGTGTCATTATCGGATTACCTCAATTTGATGCTTGATGGAGGATGCCTGCCAGTGAGTAAGCATTGGAGAAATGGCCCCTCTCCATGTCTGTTCCCTACCTGGAGTTGGTAATTCAGGGCTACCAAACTGCTCTGATCCATTGCTTTGGAGAAACCCCTTGAGGGTCCCAGGGTCATTAATCTAGGCGTCCTTTTTCTTCTGTAAATGTTGAGAACTGATAACCCTAGCTAGTTGGTATTAACTGCCGTACAACAAGGAGTTTTGCACTTCTTTAGATGGTGAAGTACATAGGACATATGGAACATTAACTAGAGGAGCAAGCAATGAGGTGGGCCTTCAGCAATCAGGAAGAATCAGGACTGGGAGAGTTCAGGGGTTTAGAAACAGGAGCAAGTCTTGGAAGAATAGTCATGTGAGTCCTGAGACGGTAGCTCTACAGTAGAGCAATTGCCTAGCTTGTACAAGGCCCTGGGTTAAATCCTCTGCACAAAGAGAAACAGACAGAGGCAGAGAGGGGAGGAATGAATGAGGAAAAGAAAAAGGGAAGAAGAGAAGAGAGAGACAAGAGATATTCAAGATCAATGGTGGGTGGTATGGTGATGTCACTTGAAAAATGAGTAGTGCCCCTGGACTGCCATACGTGTCTCATAGCTCTGCCATTGAATGAGGAGAACTTTTTAAATAATATTTTGATTTTGAGCTTTTTCTTGGCATTCCTGGCGTTTGAACTCAGGACCATGAATTTGCTGATGCATTCTTTTGTTTTTTTTGATCCGGTCATGGGGCCTGAACTCTGGGCCTGGGCGCTGTCCCTCAGCTCTTCAGCTCAAGGCTAGCACTCTACTACTTGAGCCACAGTGCCACTTCCGGCTTTTTCTGCTTATGTGGTGCTGAGGAATCGAACCCAGGGCCTCATGCATGCAAGGCAAGCACTTTACCACTGAGCCACCATCCCAGCTCCTGCTGATACATTCTTCAAAGATTTATTAAGCATGTACTAAACACCAGGTACAACTTGAGCTAGAAATCCTATTTTTTTGACAGTTACTCAGGTGGTTGGTTGAGAAGAGGAGTCAATAATCAAAATGTGAGGCAGAAAACCTAGTTAGCTTGGGTGAAAGTGAAGTCAGAAATGGAAACATGCAGACAGAATCTGAGGTCCTGTCCAACCCTGAGATCCCATAACCCTGGGATCCCACACCAGGTAGAGTTGACAGGGCTTGTTTTACCCTGGAAATAGAGAAGAGGGATTGTAAATGGAAGGTGACTCCCTTGAGAGATGGGAAACAGCAGCCAGCAGGTAGCTGGAGATAGCTATGAGGGTGAGGATCTGGCTATTTTTTATTTGTATTTTTTTTGGTCCGGTCATGGTGCCTGAACTCTGGGCCTGGGCTCTGTCCCTCAGCTCTTCAGCTTAAAGCTAGCACTCTACCACTTGAGCCATAGCACCACTTCCGGCTTTTTCTGCTTATGTGGTGCTGAGGAATTGAACCCATGGCCTCAAGCATGCAAGACAAGCACTCTACCACTGAGCCACCTTCCCAGCCCTATTACCAGCTTTAGTAGGATAGTTAAATCAATTTCCTACTGGAAATTGGGTTCTGGAGAGTCACCCACTTTCCTCTAAACCCCAGGATGAAAAAAGTGAAAGCAACCAGTGGGAGGATAATAACACTCACGGGCTAGTCTAAAGAAGGCGGATCTAGTGTGGCCTCATTGAGTTATCCCAAAGGACAAAGCCTGGGACAGTGAGCTCAGAACCCAGTTCCCTGTTGGGAATGACAGCCATCAGCAAGTTACAGTCTGATGGAGGAGAAGATCCTGTGGTTTTTCAGCAGTGTGATCACTGTGGTGATCAGATGAACACAGGAGACAGCCAGTCCACAGAAGGAGCTAGTCTGTCTGATTTGGGCTAGTTTCACTGGTTCCTCGTTTTCATGAAGTATTTTGCTGAGCAAAAGAAGTGGTCAGTGGTATGGGTGGATCTTAGGTAAATGGTAAAATGAGGCTGGGGAGGAGTAAAAGCCTGAGAAACATCAAGTCCTAGCAGGGAAGGCTCAGGTTGGTCTTGGAACAGAGCATGGATTTGAGCTGATTAGCAGTACTCCATGTGTTGTGAGGAAACTGAGGTAGTGTTGAGGGGTTTGTTTGCTTGTTTGTGCCAGTACTGGAGCTTGAACTCATAGCCTCATTCCCTTGCTTGGCATTTTCACTCACAGCTGATGCTTTCCCATTTGAGCCATACCTTCAGTCTCACATTTGTGCTGATTAGTTGGAGATTTGCCCAGGGTTGGCTTTGAACCATGATTTTCAGACCTCAGCTTCCTAGGTAGTTAGGACTACTGATATGAGCTTTGAGTGATTCTTTTATGAATTCATTCTTCAGCCAAGTGCGAGCCCAAGGCCCCTAAGTTCAAGCCTTAGTATAGGCACAAAACAAACGAAAACAAAAGAAATTCATTCTGAAGGTATTTATTAAGCATATGGTGCAGTTGAAAGATACATCGGAAACTAGTTAATGCACAGTATGTCAGATGGTGAAAAGTACAGTGGGTAAAAATAAAGCAGGCTAAAGGGAATGGGAGAAATAAAGAATGGCACCAGTGAGTAGGCACTGGGATATAAGACAGCCAGTGGGCTGATAAATGGGGAAAGGCCTGTCAGGTATAGAGAACAGCAGTGCAAAGGCCGTGGGGTAAGAGCATGGGTGGTACATATGTCCAGAGAACAGCAAGAGGACTGGTTTATCTGGAATAGAGTGTTTAGGAAGATTTGAGGGCATGGTTAGACATGAACCTAATACTTGCTTTGTGATCCCATTTGTGTCAAGGATGAATTCAGAATGAGAAGGATGCAGCTGAGGGCACTTGAGATGGCAGGTCCTGATAATGGGGATAGTTAATTGTTTGAAGTTGCTGACATCTGGGAAACATGTCAGTGCCTGAGGGTAGAGCCTGTTTGTAGGTCAGGGTTGGGCATTGACTGGTCGTGGGTTGACTCTACTCAGAGACTCTGTACACCCAAGATCTGTGTATGGGGAGGCACTGTCAGGCGGGTTGCAGAGAAATCACAAAGGTATGTTTAGTACTGGATAAGGACCAGCTATGGGCTAGGAGATAAGGAGGAGCCAAATTTAAGGGGAATAATGCCCTATCTGGGTATCTAGAAAGGCCTGTATTTGTTTGTTTGTTTGTTTGGTCCTTGTGTTTGAACTCTGGTCTAGGCACTGTCCCTGAGCTCTTTTGCTTAAGGCTAGAGTTCTACCACTTTGAACCACAACTCCACTTCTGGTTTTCTGAGTACTTTATTGGGGTTATTGGACCATCCTGACTGTGCTAGCACTGAAGTGCAGTCCTCAGATCTCAGCCTCCTGAGTAGCTATTTTTATAGGTGTGAGCCACCAATGCCCAGCTGAAAGGACTGTTTTAGTTCCACTCTCTTGTCCCTTATATTTTTCCATTCCCACACTTAACCTTTCTCATGGGAGTGAGACTGAGTTAATTTTGGTGGGCAGGCCTGTCTACTCCATGAATATTAACCCAAACCTCTGTTTTTCCAGCGTGCCAAGGGGGCCTTGCAGAGCATCACTGCGGGCCAGAAGGTCATCAGCAAGCATAAGAATGGGCGCTTCTACCAGTGTGAAGTGGTCACACTCACCACCGAGACCTTCTATGAAGTCAACTTTGATGATGGCTCCTTCAGCGACAATCTTTATCCTGAGGACATAGTGGTAATGTCTGCAAGCAGCTTCTTGGGCAGTTTGATTGAGACTGGGGTATTTCCATGCTTGGTTGGCAGACTGGATATGGGTCTGCCTTGCCTTCGCTAGCCAGGGCTTGTGGTTTTTTTAATCATCAGTCAGTCTCCAAACAAAATGATTTGTTTTGATCTTTCTTGCAAGGAATATTATGTGCTGCTAGGGTACTCTGCTTTCTCTAGGAGCTTCTGGGAATTAACGTTTCCTGCAGTTTTTTGAAACATGCAGTATATTTTGATCTATACTATCCCTGAAAGTATCTAGTACAGAAGAAAATGTCCAAACCTTGGAATCAAAGCAGTATGCCAATGCCAGCTTCATTGTTTCAAAGCTGTGCAACTAGGAGAATTCACCCACTCCTCTAAGATGGGTGCCATCTTAGGAGATGTGTGAAGTCTACCTTGGCTCTTCACAGTTGAGGATACAATTTTCCTGTAGACACCATGGCCTGCTAATGTTATCAATACCCTGAGTCAGAGGCCCTACCTGGCTCTGATCTTGAGTTTCCTGGCTCAGTGTTAGACTTAGTTTGAGTTTCCCCTGCCCCTATCCTGCCTTTTTATGGACTAGATACTAACTAGACTAGCACCAGGGTAGAGGAATAAAGGTTTTTTTCCTTTATCGAACTGGGTATTTCCACTGTTTATACACTTCATTAACAATTGTTCACAGCATGAGTACAAAGGTCATTGTAAAGGTGATAGTACTCACAGCATTAGTACAGTGGTGATTTATTATGCCCTGATATATGCCAGCCACTGTGCTTAGTGCTCTCATACCTATATGAGAGACTTGGAGAAGAAGATGGTGGCCTTTCTAACTCAGGACTCCTTTTCTAAATTACTAAGGAACTCAAAGAGCTTATAGATATGTTTTTTGTTTTTGTTTTTTGGTGCTGAGGACCAAACACAGGGCCTTACATTTGCCAGGCAAGTACTCTTTTACTGTTCTAAGGCCTCAATACCAAGCTTGGTTGTTTTGTTTTTTTTTTTTTGTGTGTGTGTGTGTGTGTGTGTATGTGGTTTTGTCTATCAATATTTAGCATATTAGAAATTAAAGCTAAGATTAATTTTTTTGCTTTTTTTCTTTTCTTAGCTTTTTTTTTTCTCTTGAGAGAGAATCTACTTATCCCAGGCTGGCTTTGAACTCAACAATCCTCCTGTCTTAGCCTTTCAAGTGCAGGGATTACATTTAAATACTACTGCTCACCCAGGTGCCGGTGGCTCACATCTCTATTCCTAGCTACTCAGGAGGCTGAGATCTGAGGATCACAGTTCAAAGCCAGCCTGGGCAAGAAAGTCCATGAGACTCTTATCTCCAATAAACCACTAGAAAACTGGAAGTGGCCCTGTAGCTCAAGCAGTATAGCACTTACCTTGAGCTGAAGAGCTGAGGGACAGCGCCCAAGCCCAGAGTTCAAGCCTCACAACCGACAAAAAAAAAAAAAAGTACTACTCTCAGCCCTTAATATCTATTTTTTTTTTTGGTCCAGTCGTGGGGCCTGAACTCTGGACCTGGGCGCTGTCCCTCAGCTCTTCAGCTCAAGGCTAGCTCTCTACCACTTGAGCCACAGTGCCACTTCCGGCTTTTTTTTCTTTTTGCTTATGTAGTGCTGAGGAATCCAACCCAGGGCCTCATGAATGCAAGGCAAGCACTCTACCACTGAGCTACCTTCCCAGCCCTAATATCTATTTTTAATGAGAAATACGTTTTCTAAAATAAAAATAGCTGCTGGGAGGAAATGGCATCTTTTTCAAATTTCTTTAATTTCTTTAATATCATTTTCATGCAATCTTTTCATTAACCTTCATGAGAAGGTTTCACTTCCCACTGATGCGTTGTTAGAAAGGGGAAGAGTTTTTGTTGTTGTTTTTGCTGGTTCTGGGCCTTGAACTCAAGGCCTGGGTGCTGTTCCTAAATTCCTTTTTTGCTCAAGCTAGCACTTTACTACTTGAGCTACAGCACCACTTTTGGCTTTTTTTGTGATTAATTGGAGATAAGAATCTCATGGATTTTCTTGCCCAGTCTGGCTTTGAACCAAGATCCTCTGAGTGCAGCCTCCTGAGTAGATAGGATTACAGGCATGAGTCACCAGCACCCAGCTGGGAAGAACTTTTTATTTTACTTATACATTTTAATTTATTTTATTTATGTGTTACTGAGAAATCAAAGCCTGGGCTCATGAATGCTAGACAAGCACTCTTAATCACTAAGCCACATCCCTAGCCCTGGGAAGAACTTTTTAAAAGCCCTTTAGGTATTTGTAATGATTGTTTTTTTAATAATCCACCAAAACTCAACAAGAACAGGTGCTTTTTTGGTTGGTGTGTGTGTGTGTGTGTGTGTGTGTGTGTGTGTGTGTGTGCATGCGTGTATGCATGCATGCATGTGCTGGTTCTGGGATTTGAACTCAGCCTTCTCATTTGGCTTTTTGACTTATAGCTCTTCCACTTGAGCCATGCCTCCAGGCCTGGCTTTTTCACTAGTTAATTGGAGATTAGTGCCTCTTGGACTTTTCTGCTCAGACTAACTTTGAACCTTGATCCTCAGATTTCAGCCTCCTGAGTAGCTAGGATTAAAGGTATGAGCTACTAGCACTTGGCTCTAAGTGGCTTTTCCCATTCCTGATTTTAAAACACTGTATTTTGGTCATTTAGAAAACACCAGTACACTGGGCTATATTCATCTTCTGGTTTTTTTTTGTTTTCTTGGGTCCGGTCGTGGGGCCTGAACTCTGGGCCTGGGCGCTGTCCCTCAGCTCTTCAGCTCAAGGCTAGCACTCTACCACTTGAGCCACAGCGCCACTTCTGGCTTTTTTCTTTTTGCTTATGTGTGCTGAGGAATCAAACCCAGGGCCTCAGGCATGCAAGGCAAGCACTCTACTGAGCCACCTTCCCAGCCCCGCTATATTCATCTTCTAAATGTTACATTTTGTTATAAATACCAAAAATAAATCACATATTGTCACTCATTAGAAAACTTTAAATTCTAAATTTTGGAAAGCTTCATAGTGTTCATACTGATGATGATACTTTTCTGAAATTCTTAATTTATGCTTGCAAGTTTAAATTTTATTATTGGCAATAGATGACTGTCTGTTGGTTTCCATGAAGTAACAGAAGTGACAGGATCATTTCATTCATTCTTAGGAAAATGTCTGCCAAACTGGCAAGTCTCAATAACCATAATCTGTCAGTCTTTTTTTTTTTTCTTCAAATGAACTGTTACTTTGTGAAAAAGGAGTAGCTAGTGCAGTTCACATAATTACAACTTTTTTCTTTTGTAGTATTGGGGATTGAATCCAGGGTCTCAAGCATGCTAGGCAACTGTTCTATAATTAATCATTTAAGACAATCATTTAAGCTTCATAATGTAACAACATCATTATTGTCCTTAAAAGTCACTGTGACAACAGGCTTTTTTTTTAAAACTGAAGTTTAACTCAGCCTCTATACTTGCTAATAAGTAAGTGCTCTGCCACTTGAGTTATTTCCCCTCTCCCACCTTCAACCCCACCCTTTGTGTTTATTTTTGTTAATTTATTTCTTTGTTGGTCATGGGACTTGAACTCTGGGCCTGGGATTAGAAACAAGCTATCACATCTGATGAAACCAGACTGCTCCTTCCTTTAAATTCTGAGTACATGATGGTAAAGGATATAGTAATGAGAATTGTTTATTCCCAACCCTGTACTGTTGGTGCACACCATCAGTAGTTGTAGATTTTACACCACCACAGCAAATGTCACCACAGTGAAAAAAGGCTAGGGTTTTGATACTAGAAAAATAATTGTATGGGGGCTGGGAAGGTGGCTCAGTGGTAGAGTGCTTACCTTGCATGCATGAGGCCCTGGGTTGGATTCCTCAGCACCACATAAGCAGAAAAAGCAGGAAGTGGTGCTATGGCTCAAATGATAGAGTGGTAGCCTTGAGCTGAAGAGTTAAGGGACAGCGCCCATGCCCAGAGTTCAGACCCCATGACTGACCGGAAAAAAAAAAAAAATGTATGACTTCAAATGTCCCTTGATAATGTCTCAGAAGATTCTCAAGTTGCAGATTACCTTTTGAGAACTGCTCAGGGAAATGAAACTGAGTTGTGGTTTGTCATATGTTTAACTAATTAAAACTTTTACCTCAGATTCTTTTGGGTAAGGGTATACAGCAAGTTCATAGCATATATATATATTACCTACTCAACAAATAAATCAGCAGTATAGTTTAGAACCATTTCTACTTAGTAAATGAATTGGCAAACAGGCCAGAACCTTTCTGTTGTTGTTGTTTTGTTTTGTTTTTTGCTGGTCCTGGGGCTTGTACTCTGGGCCTGGGTTCTGTCTGTGAGCCTCTCTGTACTCAAGGCTAGCACCCTACAACTTGAACCACAATGCCATGTCTGGCCTTTTCTGTTTCATGTGGTTCTGAGGAATTGAACCCAGAGCTTCAATGCATGCTAAGAAAGTACTCTACCACTAAGCCACATTCCCAGCCTGGTCAGTACGTTTTGTAACTATTTGTCATGTAGTATGATGCTCACCAGAACACCTTGTGAACAACACATGCCAATAGACTCACTTCCCTGTCCCCCAAATGTGTCCTTTTGGGGGGGGGTAGGGTGGGGTGTGCTCATCCTGAGATTTGAACTCAGAGCCTGGGCACTGTCCCTGAGCTCTTTTGCTCAAGGCTAGTGCTCTACCATTTGAACCACAACTCCACATTCAGCTTTTTGATGGTTAATTGGACATAACTGTTCATGCACTTTTTTGTCCAGGCTGGCTTCAAACCATGGACCTCGGATCTCAGCTTCCTGAGTAGCTAGGATTATAGGCATGAGCCACTGGTACCCAGATAAATGTGCACTGTCCATAGTGGACCTCCTAGGTTTACCCATTTGAGCTTTTTTTTTTTTTTTTCCAGTCCTGGGCTTGAACTCTAGGTCTGGGCGCTGTCCCTCAGCTCTTCAGCTCAAGGCTAGCACTCTACCACTTGAGCCACAGCGCCACTTCTGGCTTTTTCTGCTTATGTGGTGCTGAGGAATCCAACCCAGGGCCTCATGCATGCAAGGCAAGCGCTCTACCACTGAGCCACCTTCCCAGCGCCCCCATCTGAGCTTTGATTCAACCACCATGCATGCACATTGACCCTGACCACCGTACAAATTTCTGGGCCTGGGATATGTTAAGATTCATCTTAGTTTACCCAAGTCCCCTGATAGATGAGGCTTTCTTTTCTTACCTTGCCTGAATTTTAAGAACGTATTTCTTAAAATAGAATTGAGTACAATTCTAGCATTTCTTCTGGCACAGCCCTGGAGAACCCTAAGAGAAGGTCAGGTGAGAGGATGTGAAGATGACTGCACCTGCTCCTATACTCCTATTCTATTATAGCTGATCTTTTTTTCTCTGCTAGAAGCAGTAGTAGTAAGGAGATGATTGGGGCAAACTCAGCCTTAGCAATCAGGTGTTTATTGTGTCTTTCAGCTTTACCTGGATTGATTTAGCAGGGATTTATCTTGGCTTCTTGAGTTGATATCAGTTGCCATTGTGCTCTTAGACCTTCCTTTCACTTTCTTCTTTCCTTAGAGCCAGGACTGTCTCCAGTTGGGTCCTCCTGCTGAAGGGGAAGTGGTCCAAGTGAGATGGACAGATGGCCAAGTCTATGGAGCCAAGTTTGTGGCGTCCCATCCTATCCAGATGTATCAGGTAAACAGAGGTTTTATCTAGGGAGTTGGGGATGGGATAGGCATTTGATCAATTCAACACTTCCTCTTGTGTAAGAAGTGTGTCTTTGGTCTTGAGACAATTAGCTTCATTTCAGTCTACCAGTGTGGTCTCAGGCCTGGCAATCTGAGTCCAGGTTAGTAATGCCTTCTTTTGGCTATGGAAAATTGCCACTGCATGGCAGACCAGGAGTAGTCAGGGATATCCTAGGCAAAAGGCAAAAAGGCCTTTGTTTCCTTGGCAGGTGGAATTTGAGGATGGCTCACAGCTTGTGGTAAAAAGAGATGATGTATACACACTGGATGAAGAACTCCCCAAGAGAGTGAAGTCCAGACTGGTGAGTATGTGTTTTCTGTGTATCCCTGGCTATCCCCTCCTGGGAGGGGAAGAGATACAGGGTCATGTCCCTTTGGCTTTTTTTTTTTGTCGGTCGTGGGGCTTGAACTCTGGGCCTGGGTGCTGTCCCTCAGCTCTTCAGCTCAAGGGGAGTGCTCTACCACTTGAGCTACAGCGCCACTTCCGGTTTTCTGGTGGTTTATTGGAGATAGGAGTCTCACGGTCTTTCCTGCCCAGGCTGGCTTTGAACCGCGATCCTCAGATCTCAGCCTCCTGAGTAGCTAGGATTACAGGCGTGAGCCACCAGTGCCCGGCCCCTTTGGCTTTTTTTAATTAGTGTATTTGGCCACAAAGTGATAATTTGGTTTGTTTATTCTTCTTTAGTCAGTAGCCTCAGACATGCGCTTCAATGAGATTTTCACAGAGAAAGAGGTTAAACAAGAAAAGAAACGGCAGCGTGTCATCAACTCAAGATACCGGGAAGATTATATTGAGCCTGCACTGTACCGGGCTATCATGGAGTAGATACTTCCAGGGTCTAAGAGGTTCCCAGCCATCAAGGCGAGAGCACTCTGGGGTTCCACAACACAGCAGACACACGGAACTCAGAAGTCTCTAAAAATGAAATTGTAAAAAGAAAGGAATGAGACACTCAAACCCCATCATCTTCTCACCCCATCCTCATCGCATTCTGCCATAGGGAAATAACAAGCCGTTTTTGGACAGTTGGCTGCAGCCACTGATCTCCTGGCAGAGGGGCTGACACTGGAACGCTGTGACTACATCAGCCCCCAGTCCAAAAAGGGGATCAAATGTGCCGGCTGGGCTGGCTGCCCTGGTCTAGGACTTTGCTTCCTACCATCACTTGCACCGACAAAGCAGCGGTGCTGGTGTTTGATCCAACTCTCCTTTTGTATTTATGTGTGTGTGTGTGTGTGTGAGTGAGTGCGTGTGCGTGTGTGCGTGTGTGTGTGTGTGCGCGTGTGTGTGCGTGTGTGTGTGTGTGCGCGCACGCGCGCATGTGTATGTATGTTTGTCCGGACCAGTTTCTGCCAGCCCCTGGCCTTTACTTCTTTGCCTATGCAGGGCAAACAAAATGTGAAATTCTGCCCTCAGCTGAGCTGAGTGAGGGCCCCTGGGGTTTGGCTGGAGGAGGGTGCACCATCTGTCCAGGCTTGGAACTGTCTCAAGAGAGTGTTGGCAAAGCTGCAGTATTGAGATGCTAAGGAGCTGTTGCCACCTCTTTGTCCTCCTTTGAAAGGGACATAGGGGTAATATGGTTTGTGCCACAAACTTGAGGCACAGAGCCCCTGTGGGCACAGTATTAGAGGATGTGAGTGGGGAACACCCTGAAGAGGGGGTATTTTAATGATGAAAGCAGGCAGAGCCTGGTGGTTGATTCTGTCAACATAAAATTGCAATCAAGCAGGGGTTGGGAGGGTTTGGACAGGGGCAGGTGTGTAGATATGCTCTTGGTCAGGGTGGGAGGGAGTTGGCTGGGGGTGGGGAGGGTGGGACTAGAGGGCAGCACTGAAGGGGTTAAACGGGTTTTTGCTCCTCCTGAATTTGTTTGCCTGGGCCTAGGAATGGAGGGCTTCACACTTATATCCTATGTATACAAGAATGAAGTTTATAATACTTCCCCTTTTTTGTTACGTATGAACGCTATAAACCAAATTATTTTGAAAACTGGTGCATCACCTTGTCCTTAGCAATAAAATGTGTTGAGCAGAAGATTGACTGTGTCTGCCCCAACGAGCCCAGGTGGCTCAGGGTCAGGCTGCAGAGTAGTGAGTACTTGTGGGTTCTAATCTGTGGTAACTGTCAAAGGATGGGTCTCTTGTGGGGCACTATATTAGGTCAAGTGTGGTAGATCAGGGGGAACAGGGGCCCTTCTGACTATGAGCAAGCACTTCTTTGTGCTTCCCCTTCCTTGGAGATGGCCAAGGGGAAGGAACAGAAAAAGGAACAGACTTCCAAGTCTTCTAACCATTGATCTACTTGCACCCTATTTGAATGAATTTACTGAGCTGGTCTAAGTCCATACCAGCATCTATTCCCCACACATTCTAAAAGCAGTTTGAAAGGAGGTAATACAATGTAGATTCCTGAAAGAGCCTGGGTCCCAAAACATCTCCTAGTAGGGTTTTGAAATTGCTTGTAGAGTATCTTACCTGGAGGAAGACTCAGTTCTTATTTGGTATACCCTGAGGTCAAAGAGAAAGTCTACAGAGATTGACCTGTTGCCCTCCATTCTGGGATTCCCAGGGGATGTGGCAGGGAAGGCTGGGTAGATCAAGGCCTTCTGAAATGCTGAGTAGGTCCTAAGAGCAAACATCTTTGCAAGAGAGCAGAGTTAACCAACCTTTGTCCACAGGGCCCTACCCCTCAATGGCTCTATCCTTGCTGAAGCATCTACAGGTTTTTTTTTTGTTTTTTTTTTGTCGGTCGTGGGGCTTGAACTCTGGGCTTGGGTGCTGTCCCTGTGCTCTTCAGCTCAAGGTGAGTACTCTACTGCTTGAGCCACACACAGTGCCACTTCTGGTTTTCTAGTGGTTTATTGGGTAAGAGTCTTAGGGACTTTCCTGCCTGGGCTGGCTTTGAACCATGATCCTCAGATCTCAGCCTCCTGAGTAGCTAGGATTATAGTGCCTGGCAACAAAATTGTTATACAAAGCTTTTTTTTTTTCTTTTTCTGTCAGTTATGGGGCTTGAACTCTGGGCCTTGGTGCTGTTCCTCAGCTCTTCAGCTCAAGGCAAGTGCTCTACCACTTGAGCCTCAGTGCCACTTCTGGTTTTCTGGTGGTTTTATTGGAGATGAGTGTCCTGGACTTTCCTGCCTGGGCTGACTTAGAACCACGATCCTCAGATGCTCAGCCTCCTGAATAGCTAGGATTACAGGTGTGAGCCATCAGCACCTTGCCACACTTTTTAATTTTGGACAATGTCTTGCTATCTCAAGCTGGCCTCCAGCTCTCAATCCTGTCTCAGCCTCCTTAGTGTGCCTTCCTGCTTGACTTTCCACTTTATTTTGGTCAGTGTAAAAACCCTAAGAAAACATGTTCAAAGTGGTTATGAGACTATCCCAAATCAGTTTGTTTTGCTGCTGGGGAATCTCTCCAGGGCTCTCAATCTTCTAAATAAGTGCTCTACCTTGATGCTATTTACCCACAAGCCTGGTCTATCCTCCCCATCCCCTCCCATTTTAGTTAGGTGGGGTCCTCAGGAATCACCTCATCTGAAGGCAGAGAATCCTTGTCCTCTACCTGCCAGCAACACTTCTTCCCCCCACTTTTTTTTTTTTTTGCCCAGGGCAAATCATCTTAAGTTCTGGCATCCATAAGGTGACAGTTTACAGTGTCCACTCCTTTTCTGGAGAATTAAGCTTTAAGTTGTACCCTAAACAGATACTGCCAAGGGCTCCATGGAGGGAATGGGGGAAAGCAAGGCAGGGGAGTCAGGAGGAGGCTCCTAGAGCTGCCTGTAGGGCTGCTTCCATGCTCTTTTTGTGTATCTTTAATTTTTTTTTATTGTTATAAAGGTGATGTACAGAGAGGTTACAGTTATGGAAGTCAGGTAGAGTACATCTCTTTTTGGACAATATCTCCCCGATACTTGTGCTGTCCTAGTTTTCTCTCCCATCTCCACCCACAAGTTCTATACTTCATTTTCCACATAGGGTGTAGTGAGTATACTGCCAGTGCTGCATTTGTTTACCCTTTCTCCCTCCATTTCTGTGCCCTCCCCCCCTTAACCTCCCAAAGACAGATAAACCGACAAGACCAAACCAAGCCAAACCCCAAACCACCCAAAACAACGAAGGGGAAAACCTCTTGTTCCCATTTCCTGGGGTTCATTTCGACAAATACTACTTTAATGACCAGAGGCACGCGTGCATGGCGCCTTTGTGCTCCTAAGAATGTCCTCCTTTGGTGTCACTGTCCCCGTGCCTGCTGACCTCACGACTGGGCTGAGCCAAGGAGGGCCAAAGCCTTGGTCTGCAAGGAGCTATGTGGCCGTCCTGAAGGAGAGCTGAAACGTCCTCGGGCACGGGACGACCGTGCCCACCCGCCGCCCCTCGCCGTCGCGAGGAAACAGGCTTTCACGCCCTCATGGAGCCGGCCGGGGAACGGACGAGGCGAGGGCGCCCTAGCTGCGCTGGCAGGCCAGGCCAGTTCCACAGGCCGGGGGCCCCACGCCGCGCAACTTCGGCAGCTGGTCCGGGCAACGGGCCGGCGGGCGGGCCAAGCACACCGGCGCCCTCGTGCCTATTGGGCCCTTCCGACTTGTGTCCGCCCCCTCCTTGCGGCGCAGCTTACTATTGGTCAATTCTGCGCCCCGCCCGGATCCAGAGCGCCCATTGGCTGCGGGTGCCCGACCCCCAGTGAGGGTGCTGAGGCGGATTGGTGGTCTTACAGTCTTGGGTCGCGGCTGCGAGCCCCGCCCTCCGCTGCGTCCCCACTATGGCGGCGTCCATGCAGCCCACCGCGTCGTGGGCGCCCGCCGGGGTCCCCCGCGGCTGTCGCCGCCGCCTTCGCCGTCGCCTCCGTCTTCCCGCCCCGCGTGGGGCTGGGCGCCGTCTGCCCCTGCTTCCCTCTCCGCTGCGGTAAGGGCCTGTGGTGTGCGTTGCGGGTCGCGGTAGCGGCCGCAGCTAACGGTCTCGGCTCGTCCCTCTCCCTGGCTGCGGTCCCGGGCGGGACGCCGAGTCCGCGAGCTCCTGCTGGGGAAGGAGGTGTGGGGCACAGCCCGGTGGTCCCTCAGGCTGGAAGCCTGGCCCCTGAGCCACCCCCTGCGTGGGGGCTGCCGGCCCGAAGGCAAGGCCGCTCCGAGGCGGGCCGCGCGGTCCGAGGTCCCAACCTGCGGGACCCCAGCGCGCTGCGACCCTTGGCGAGGTGGAAGGACGCGACCCTTCGGAAAAAGGAAGGGAAAGTCCAGGGAGAGCCTGGAAGGGACCAGCCTCGCTTGGGTAGCGGTTGTCATTGCTTATAGTCCTCGCTGACAGACCTGGGTCAATTTGATTGGCAAAGTACTTACTCTTGCTTCCTTTCCGCCTGACACTTTCTCCTATTGTCTTCTCGTTGATCGTGTTTGCAAGAGAAAATATATTAGAGACGAGAACAGGTTTGGTTAGGGAGACTTTCTCTATGTTGATTTCCCTTTTACAACTTTGCCTTTTTTTTTTTTATTAACCTCAATAAACCTCTTTTTTGTTTGTTTCTCTCACATTGGAAGAGGAAACTGAGTATTGTAATTAACCGGAAGAACAGAGAAGGCAGCTGCCATCCAGAAAGTAAAGAGTATTTAACTCACCATTCTGTAATACACTTTGAATTATCTTTACTACAGCTAGTTGGATATGAAGGTTGAAAACCACTAATTGGGTTATTGAAAGCTAATAGACGTCATGACATTTTAGGTTGTTTGCTGTACCTTTAAGCCAACAGGATTGAAAGGAAAGGAGAAAGAAATTATCACCAGATGGTAGTTTCAAATAATCTCTTAGGATATTTTACAATTTTAACTTACTTTTCTCCAGTTCACAAATATAACGTGTATAGTAAGTTACTAATGGTGAAACAAGAACACCCCTGTTCTTAGAAAATAATTGGTTTGCTCAGTCTGTCAAGTATGAGCTAAGTGTTGGCTGTAGGAAACTCCCACATTTCAGGTATGAAACGTTTTCTCATGGGCTTATAGTTGTGGTAGTAAAGCACACACAAAAATGACTATAGAACTCCAAGACTGTAGTATTGTTAGGAAATCAGGAAAAGAACAAACACCTGTGTTTGAGGAAAGGTTTCACAGGGGAGCTGATGTTTGAGTTGGGCCATGAAGATAGGCCTGGCAGGGAGAAGGGAAGAGAATGGAACAGGGAGTGAGGATGGTAAGGGTGATTCCAGTGGGTTCTTATTGGAAAACATGAGAGATGTTTGTAGAAAAGGTCGGTTGATGGCATCAAAGGGGGAGATGTCTTATATGGAGCAAAGGATAGGCAAGTAGTGTAGTACTATGCTTCCTTGAAGTGAAGCTAGAGCTATCACCAAAGAAACATAATAACACCTCTTTGACTGTTGTCACTTTCCTGGTTAATTTCAGTGATTTGGATTAATAATTCTCAGTCACCACAGAGCTGCATCTCAAGTTGTTTCTTGCCTTCTTTTCCTTCCCTTGTGTTCAATTGGTTGCAGGTGTTGATGATTCTCAGGTTTTGGTGCCTACTTCCTTCACTTCTTAATGTCACAGGGGATTTGTGGGCATTAATATTCCCCCCTTTTTTTTTTAATCCCAGAAACTCCCTAACATTTTTTTTTCTTTCTTTTGTCTTATGTATACTACCACACTTATCTTCAGTAGCTCCTCCCTGTTCGTTAGTTTGACGCAGGCCAGCCTGGCATAAGCAGTATGAGCAAATACATTTATTGCTATATCCTTATATTTTATTGTGTTTCCCGGGTCAATACCTGATTTTTGTGCTTTGTATTTTGAACTCAGTGTCTTTATTCATGTTGACTTTTTCTTTCTTTCTTTTTTTTTTTGTCAGTCGTGGAGCTTGAACTCTGGGCTTGGGTGCTGTCTCTGAGCTCTTCAGCTCAAGGCTAGTGCTCTACCGCTTGGCCACAGCACCACTTCCTCTTTTTTTTGTCGGTTGTGGGGCTTGAACTCTGGGCCTGGACACTGTCCCTCAGCTCTTCAGCTCAAGGCTAGTGCTCTACCACTTGAGCCACAGCACCACTTCCAGTTTTTTTCTGCTTATGTGGTGCTGAGGAATCAAATCGAGGGCCTCATGCATGCAAGGCAAGCACTCTACCACTGAGCCACCTTCCCAGCCCCATGTTGACTTTTTCTATCTTACATGATCCCCTTGAGTCTCTAATGACTGTTATTACTTAAATTTTAGGGCCACTGATGGAACTTCTTTTAAACCACTATAACTGTAGAATCTGCTCTCCCCTTTATTTGTTTGTTTTAGTCAGTCATGGGGCTTGAACTCAGGGCCTGATCACTGTCCCTGAGCAATTTTGTTCAAAGCTAGCACTCTACCACTTTGAGCCACAGCATCACTTCTGGTTTTCTGGTGGTTAATTGGAGATAAATGTCTCATGGACTTTCTGCCCAGACTGGCTTTGAACTGTGATCCTCAGATCTCATCTTCCTGAGTAGCTAGGATTACAGGCATGAGCCACCAGCACCCGACTTTGCTCTCTCCTTTTTGAGATAAGGTCATGCTGGCCATGCTGAGATAAAGTCTAGGCTGGCCTTGAACTCAAGATAAAGCCCCCTCTAAATCCCCTAGCTCTGGAGTTACAGATGTGTACCACCATACCTACTTTAGAGTTTGTCTTCTTGCATAAGTGCCTTAATCTCTTTTCTGTGTATAGCATATGACTCAAGTTTCTTCAGGACGTAAACTGTCTTCTCTCGGTTTGACATAGTACTTTATAGTAGGTACTTGACAAGTATATTTTATATCAAAAATAGCTTCAGACTAAGATTGATGTGAAGAAAGTCCTTTGTGCAAACAAAATGCCATAAATATGAAAATAAAGTTTTCTACATAAGAGAATCTCTTCTAGAGAAATCTGCTATATTGGCCTTGATAATTTTGATTAAGCTACATTTGCACAAACTGTAAGTGGCTTAACAGAGATTAAATTGACTTCCCATTTATGCTTCAAGAGTACATAGGGAGGGTTGGGAATGAGGCTTAGTGATAAAGTGCATGTCTAGCATGCACGAAGCCCTGAGTTTGATACCTTAGTACCACATGTGCAGAAAAAGCTGGAAGTGGCTCAAGTGGTAGAGTACTAGCCTTGAACAAAAGAAGTTCAGGGTCAGTGCCCAGGCCATGAGTTCAAGTCCCAGGACTGGCAAAAAAAAAAAAAAAAGTACATAGGGAGCTCTGTTCCTCACAGTCACTCAGGGAGAGAGCCATATGGGAAATTAAGTTTGTGTTCCAGTGGACTCTGGTTATCTGTCTCAATGTGACACAGGCCACATTTAACTTTAAAGCAATATAGAGAATTGTATTAGCATATGTCTTGCAAAGAACCAAAATTATTTGGTGAACATTACTAATGACTAACATCTTCTGTGGGTGTCATGATTCACTGAAGATTAGAGATAGTAACTCATATGGTCTACTAAAACAAGTGCATTGACAAAAGTAAGAAAGAATAGTTCTAACTAGGCATATAAGGGTGGATTCAGAGTCAGAACTCAGAAGCACTTATTGTAAATGCAAATAGGTTAAGGCCAATAATACAGGGCAGTATATCATATTCCAGTTTTGACAGTCACTTCTGAGGGTATTACTGTTTTACAGCATTCTTTTTTTTCTTTTTTTTTTTTGGGTCTGGTCGTGGGGCCTGAACTCTGGGCCTGGGTGCTGTCCCTCAGCTCTTCAGCTCAAGGCTAGCGTTCTACCACTTGAGCCACAGTGCCACTTCTGGCTTTTTTTTTTTCTTTTTGCTTATGTGGTGCTGAGGAATCGAACCCAGGGCCTCATGCATGCAAGGCAAGCGCTCTGCCACTGAGTCACCTTCCCAGCCCCTTACAGCATTCTTAATAGTGCACATAGTAATAGTCTTGAGGTCCGAAAAATACAAAGGTTAAGTAAGCTGAGTGTGTGGCTTATGTCTGTAATTATAGCACTTGGGTAGTAAAGGCACCAGGATTGAAGAGTTTGAGGCTAATCTGGACTATGTAGAAAGTTTCAGGCCATGGGCTGAGAAGGTGGCTCAGTGGTAGAGCACTCGCCTTGCATGCCTGAGGCCCTGGGTTCGATTCCTCAGCACCACATAAGCAAAAAGAAAAAAGCCAGAAGTGGCGCTGTGGCTCAAGTGGTAGAGTGCTAGCCTTGATCTGAAGAGCTGAGAGACAGTGCCTAGGCCCAGAGTTCAGGCCCTACGACCGGACCAAACCAAACCAAACCAAACAAAAAAAAACACACACACACAAAAAAAAGAAAGTTTCAGGCCAGCCTAGACTATATAAAAAAAATAACGGTCTCTGCAGGCACTGGTAGCTTATGACTGTAATACTAGCTATTTAAAAGACAGATCTGAGGATCATAGTTCAAAGCCAGCCTGGGCAGGAAAGTCCAAGAGACTTTTATCTCCAATTAAACATCAAAAAGCTGGAAGTGGAGTTGTGGCTCAAGTGGTAAAACATCAGACTAACCACTCATATTTTTGAACAAAGGGCTCAGTGTCAGGCTCTGTGTATTGTGACACCATGCACTAAGACACTAAGAGCCAAGAGCTAAGTGTCTGGCATCAGACACATACCTGTAATCTGGTAAGACCTGAAGAAAGTAAACCAGCAGTTATAATACTGTAAAACCTCTGTATCCACAAGAGATCAGTTCCAAAATTTCCTGGGGAAAGATGTCCAAGTCCTTTATGTAAAATATGGTAATGTTTTCATACAAGCTACATATAATCTTCCTTATATAAATGTTATTCTCTGTTCTTTAAAGAATAGTGTTTAAAAAAAAAAGTCTGTACAGCCCGGCGTGGTGGCTTACACCTATACTCCTAGCTACTCAGAAGGCTGAGATCTGAGGATCACGGTTCAAAGCCAGCCCAGGCAGGAAAAGCCGTGAGA